GTTGGGGGGAGTGGGGGTGGGGGGGAGGTCTGGAGCAGAGGTGAGCCTGAATTTGGGGGCTGCAGCCTTGAGCCTCAGCTACTCTGAATCCTATGGGGATCCTGGAAGGTAGAAGTGATGTCACTCATTCCTGGCTGCTTGGAGGATTGCAGGTGATTGCAGCTCAGATACTTTTCTCTCTCCTTATCCCACAAAGCCCAGCCCTGAGGATTCTCCCCCAGGCTTAAGAAACTGCAGCAGAGTTCTCTGGAATTCTGCCCCACAGGCTAGCCCTTGGTCATGAGAAATTAGTTCAGCTTGTCCATATAGGCCAGCACCGCCCTTCCCAACCCTCTGGTTCCCACCCAGCCCTGATACAGTCTGTACCTCCTGTAGCCAGCGCTGCTGGGAAGGGCAGTGAACCACAGAGGTGCCATCTCCAGCCCCCACAAGGCTGGCTCCAGAACAGTCCTTGAAGTCAGAAAAGGGAGGGACTCCAAAGACACCATGCCAGACCTGCTCCCCCATCTCTTGACGCAGTTTCAGGATGTAGAAACCCAAAAGGGAGGTCACTTGCCCATGCTCACATGGAGAGCTAGGACTGAGGAAAACAGTCTGAACCTGGGCACCTAGACCTTCGAAGCTGCTCCGTGAAGGGTAGGAGGGCAGTGGGGGGTGCCCTCAACCTCAGGCACCTTCTACTGGCTTGTGCTGACACACCCCTTCCTTACCTGCCTCCCCATTGAACCTTCCTGGGTTGGTTCCCATGCTTTCCCACCTGTGTAGATGGCCACCTTCTCATAACAGTCTTGCCTTCCACCTGGGGCCTGCCCCCTTCTGGTCACAGGCCCCAATGTCCAGGGCTCAGGACTAAGCCTTTTACATTTTCTTTAAAAATAACTGTTGTGTTTATTGTTTTCCTTTTTGCCATGAAAAAACACCTGACAAAAGCACTTGAGTGAGGGTGGGTTTATTTTGGCTCACGGTTTAAAGTTCATCATGTTGGGGAAGACATGGTGGGAACAAGGCAGCTGGTCAGGAGCCTGCAGCCAGGAGGGGAGTGCTGGTGTTCAACTGGATTTCTCCCTTTTATTCATTCTGGGGCAGTGGCACTCACATTCAGGGTGGGATATCCTTCCTCACCTGAACATCTGGAAAGTGCCCTCACAGGCATAGGTATGCCCAGAGGTGTGTCTCCTAGGTAATTCTAAATCCAGACAAGTTGACAGTGAAGATTATCTACCACAGTTCCACTCCTTGGCAACCTGACACCCAAATGCATCACTGTAAGATTTATTTATTTGTATTTTATGTAAGTACTTTGCCTGAATGTAAATACACCACATTGTGCAGTGCCCATGGAGGCCAGCAGATCCCCTGGAACTGGAGCTATATAAACCATTATGAGCTGCCATGTAGGTGCTGAGAACAGAACCTGGGACCTCTAAGAGCAGCAAGTACTCTTTCTTAACCACTGAGCCATCTCTCCAGCCCCTCAAATGCATCACACAGCACTCCACTGCTGGTCCCAACAGTTTCGAATTTGTCTCTTAACACAAAATGCATTTAGTCCCTAAGAGCCCAAACAGTTCCAACACTGTTCAAAAGCCCAGAGTCTAAAATCTCTCCTGAGACCCAAGAAAATATTAACAGAAAGCCTCTACAAAAGCAAATCCTGAAGCTTCATGTCTGGCATCTGGGACTCCTTGGTGGCATCATCTGGGCTCTAAGGTAGCCCTGCCCTTCTAGTCCTGTTGCCTGCAGCACTTGTAGCCTCTCTTTGGGGCTGGCCCTATTCCATGCCTGAGCCTGCAGTGTTCCTCAGATGTCTGACAGTCCTGGTATCTCTGACATCTTGGGTTGTCCATTGCAACTTAAGCCTCACCTTCATAGCTTTAAGTAATGGCCTCTTAAGGCCTCCTTGCAGGGAATCTGATCCTGCCACATGTTGCCTGGTCTCAGCAGTTTTCTGGAACCTTGGCACAGCAAAGCTCTATGACCTCGTAACTCTGGCATCTTTATATGCCTGCAAAACCAGCACCATATAGATGATGCTGCCAGGTTCTGCTGCCAGCTTGAGATGTAGAAAGGGCCTTTTTTTTTAACCACAATTATTGTCTGTTCTGTGTGCCTTAGTGGCTGAACTTCTGCTCAGGCTCTCTGCTATCTAATAACTCAATTTTCAGACAGAGACAGGAGAATCTCTGAGTTCAAGGTCAGCCTGTGTATTAGTCACTTTTCTTTGCTGTGATAGAAACACTGACCCAAGCAATTTATAGAAGGAAGAGTTTGAGCTTACAGTTCCAGGGGAACTACAGTCCATCGTGGCAGGGAGGCAAGGTGGCTGGAGGTGGCTGGAGGAGGAACAGCAGAAGCTAAGCTCTCACATCACCACGAGCAGGCACAGAAAGCAAGAGAGCAACTGGAGATCCGGCAAGGCTTAAGAACTCTCTCAGCCCACCCCCAGTGACGTGCTTTCTCCAGGACAGCCACACCTTCTAAAACCTCCCAAAACAGCGCCACCATCTGGGGACAAAATGTCCAAATACTTGGAGCCTATGGGGGACATTTTCATTCTAACTATCACAGCCTGGTCTACATAATGAGGCCCTGTGTCAAAACAAACAACAAAGGCGTGGTAGTGCACGCCTTTGATCCTAGCACTTGGGATGCAGAGGCAGGAGGATCTTTGTGAGTTCAAGGCCACCCTGGTCTACATAGTGAGTTCCAGGCCAGCTGGGGCTACAGGGAGACCCTCTCTCAAAAAGACTGAAAAAAAGCAAACTAATACCCCCCCCCAAAAAAAAACCAACAAAAACAATATCAAATTGTTGTGGGAAGACCACTCAGACAAAGTTTTGCCAAATGAAAGTTGTTACTGGCCAGGGCTACTACACAGGGTTGTCAGGAACCCAAGTGTGTAGCACCAAGCCATTTCTAGGGTAAGCTTTTATACAGAGAAACCATAACCAGGAATGAAAAGTTTAAGTTCCCAAGTTTACAGGTGGAGAGCCCCCTTAACAATGTCTATTCTATTAAGTAACAATTATATTGCAGAAGCAAGCCAAGCATAACCTACAGAAGCCATAACTGCAGTTAGCAAGTGCACTCGGGATACTCTGACCTGTTTCCAAGACAACCAGGGTCCAGCTGACATGTGTTCCCATACCCTGGGCCAACTGCCTGATTATTTCAGAGACCAGAGTCAGTCTAAACTTTAACATGGCGTAGCTATGGTCAGGAAGGTGCCTTGACAAAATCACTGTCTTCCCAGTGGGTGGGTCCTGCCCTTCAGGCATTGTTACTGTTCCTCCTGCAACACTTCAGCTCTCTGTAACATAGCCTTTTCTCCATACCCACCTGGTCTGCAACTTCATTTTTTTCACACTCCTTTCCTCACCAACCTGTATACTTTTCGTATCTTTACATTCTTTGTTTTGCACTGTAGATCTAAGAACAGTGGACAGTAACTGTCCCACAGCTTGGATGCTATGCTGTTTTGAAAGTTCCAAACAACTTAGTGCATTACTTTTGAATTTAGCCTCACTCTGAGTTTCAGGACACTGGCAGAATGCAACAAGGTTCTTTGCCAGAATATAACATGAATGACCTCTAGCCCAGTTCCTGATGGACTCCCCATTCCCCACTGAGGGATGGGTGGGCAGAGTCTTTCCTGGATACTCTTGGAATTCTGCTCTTCCAAACTCCCACCAGAATGGCCTCTAAGCTGCCAGCATTCTGGGGCTTCTCCAGCCAGCAGCTCCGTGCTCTTCCACATTCCTCCCACAAACCAGTTTGGAAGGCCCAAGAACCACATGCTTGGGTTTCTCACATCAATAGCCTCACTTCCCAGCAGGTTTTCTGTACTGATTCCTTCTCATTGCTGTGACTACCTGGTGAGGGAGGGAGGGAGGGAGGGAGGGAGGGAGGGAAGGACGGAAGGACGGAAGGAAGGAAGGAAGGAAGGAAGGAAGGAAGGAGGAAGGAAGGAAGGAAGGAAGGAAGGAAGGAAGGAGGAAGGAAGGAAGGAAGGAAGGAAGGAAGGAAGGGCTTAATTTGCCTCATGGTTAGAGGAGAAACAGTCCATCATGGTGGGGAAGGCATAGTGGCAGATGTGTGAGACAGCTGGTCACATTACATCAGCAGACAAGAAGCAGAGAGAGATGAATGCTTGTGCTCAGCTCAGTCTCCTATTTTTTTTCTTTCTATTCAGTCTGGGTCCCCAGCTCATGGGATGCTGCCACCCACACTCTGGATTGGTCTTCCTTCCTCACTTAAACCTCAGACATGCCCCGAGGTATGTTTCCTAGGCAATTCTAAATCCAGTCAAGTTAAGACTGAAGATTAACCATCACAATTACAGACTCTCAGAAAGCAAAACGTTTAAGAGTTCAGAAAATATTTGAGCCCTGAAGGAACAAAACTGTATTGTCTCCAAAATATGAAAACTAGGGCTAAAGATGCAGCTGCGTGGTAGAGTGTTTCCCTGATATGTGTGAAGCCCTGGGTCCTAGCCCCAACACATTAAAAAATAAAACTAGGCCGGGCGTGGTGGAGCTCACCTTTAATCCAAGCACTTAGGAGGCAGAGGCAGGTGGATCTCTGTGAGTTCATGGCCAGCCTGGTCTACATAGTGAGTTCCAGGACAGCTGGGGCTACAGGGAGACCCTGTCTTAAAAAGACAAAAACAAACAAACAAAAAACCAAAAAAACAAAACTAGCTGGGTGTGGTGGTCTTTGGTCCCAGCACTCAGGAGGCAGCAATCTCTGTGAGATTGAGGGCAGCTTGGTCTATAGGGAGACCGGGAGACCTTGTCTCAAAAAAAGACTTAAAAAAAAACAACCAAAAAACCCAAAACCAAACCAAAAACAACAAAACTATAAAGATGAAATCAATAAATGTTTATTGTGTTCAAACCCAATGAAATATTAACTTGGTTAGTTATAAAACTTTCTTTTTGTAGGTTGGGCTTTTCTTCCTTTGAAAGTGTTTCCAAGTTTTCCTAGAGGTGAGTCAGCTGGGTTAGATGGGGGGGGGGCAGAGGGGAAGGATAGAGCATCTTTTTTTTCTCCTAAATACTTTCTAGAACAAAAATATAAAGAAGTCTGTATTTTCCTCGGTGGCTGTGCCTTCATATGTTTTAAATCACTGTCCTGTTGGGCTTTATTTAGCTGCAAAGATGACTATGGTACTATTTTTTTTTTCAATTACACGCATGTAGGTTGGAGAGATGGCTTAGCAGTTAAGATCACTGGCTGCTCTTGAAGAGGACCCAGGATCAGTTTCCAGCACCTGCATGATAGTTAACAACCTTCCATAACTCCAATTCCAGGGGATCAGACACCCTCTTCTCATCTCCGCAGGCACCAGGTATGCACATGGTGCACTTACATACATGCAGGCAAAATGCTCATACATACAGAAGGAAAAATAAAATAAAATTATGTGTATGTATATGAGTATGTGCAAATGAGTGCAGATACCCTCAGAGACCAAAAGAGGGCATTGGATATCCAGGAGCTGGAGTTACAGGTGGTTGTGAGCCACCAGACATGAGTGCTTCAGGCTGAACTTGGATCTTCTTGAAGAGCAGCAAGCATTCTTAACCGCTAAGTCATTTTTCCATACCCCCTTTTAAAAATTATTTATTTTATGTATGTTTTCCTTACATATATGTTAGTGTATCACATGCATGCAATGCCAGAAAAAGGCATTGGATCCCTGAAACTGCAGTTACAGATGGTTGATAGCCATCAGTTGTGGACTGTGTGGGGGCTGGGAACCAAACTCTGGTCCTCTGCCAGAGCAACTAGTGCTCTTAACCACTGAGATATCTCTCTAGCCTCCAGACTCCTTTTTTTTGAGACAGGGTCTCATGTACCTCAAGGCTGGCCTCAGACTCACTATGAAGCTGAGGAATCCCTTGAATCCTGATCCTCCTGCCTTCACCTTCTGAGTACTCGGATAGTAGGGGATGCCATGCTATGCCCAATTTATGTGGTACTGGAGATCAAACCCAGGACCTAGTGCATTCTAGGCAAGCACTTTAGCAACTGAACTGCTCTCCAGTCCCATTAATGTCTGAAGTCCAGTTTGACCAGAGCAGCCACAGGCAGCTTGAGCTCCCTTTGGGAATAGCTTTTCTTCTTGCACTTTGCATTGAAGGATAAAGTTCTAAGTCACTCTTATCAGGTCCTGAGAAATGCTCAGGTTATGTGAGAAATGTGAAATGTATCAGACACGGAGGAGACACAAATGGACTGTGGATTCATAGCACCTAATATGATAACACTGCAGTGATAGAAGGGTTGAAGGCTGCAGACCTGGGAGAGGGAGGCAGGAATGATTCAGTGTTCAAAGGAATTGCAGTCGGAGAGATCTGTAAGGAGGAGGGTATGATGGTTTGTTATCTAAAAGGCTGGCGAGATGGCTGAGTGAGTAAAGGCCTCTACTGCCAAGCCTGCTGACCTGGGTTCACAAATGAAAATATAATTAAAAAAAGTAAATGTTAAAAAGGAAGCATCAACTATCTCTCAAGGGTGTTCTGGGAACTGAACTCAGGGACATTTAAAACCTCTATTACTGAGCTACATTCCTAACTCTAGACTCCAGCTTTTTTTTGGTCTTTTTGAGACAGGGTCTCCTTGTAGCTCCAGCTAGGAAGGACCTTTTGTAACATAAGGCCTGAGCAGTTCCTGGGATGCTGGGATAGCCACCAGGAACATCTCGCTGTTGCTTCTCAAGGGAAGACTTCATCCTGCAAACATTAAACTCCAGTTCAAAGTGTAGACCAGCTGTGTCTGGGTTCACATTTTTTCATTAAAAAGTTTTTTGTATATGAGTGTTTTGCTTGCATATAAAGTGCACCTATGTCATGCAATGCTTGTGGAGGCCAGAAGAGGGCATTAGGATACCCTGAAACTGGAGTTACAGTAGTTAACTACCATGTGGGTGCTCGGAAGTGAACCCAGGGTCTTCTGTAAGAGCAGCCAGTGCTCTTAACCGCTGAGTCAGCTCTGCAGTCCCACATTTCTTTTTTATGTCGCTGGTAGTCAGGTACATGAGGCAAGCACTCTACGCAAGCTACGCCATCACATCTGTTGTTCAGTAATGCACACACTGGTTATCTGTCTGCACGTTTATGTGGTTGCACACGGATGCAGAGGCCAAAGGCCAGCCGCAGGGGCCATTCTTCAATATCTACTCACTGGCCTTGAATTCAGCAAGTAGATTAGACTGGCCAGTGTGCCCCAGGGATCCACCTGTCTTCACCTCCCCAGTGCTTGTAAAGCAAGTACTTAACCAACTGAGCCAACTCCCCTGCTTCAATGCTAGTTTTTTCAAAAAAAATTTTTTTATGTTATATATATGTTTTGCTTGCATGTATGTAAGTGCAGCCATGTCATACAATGCCCATGGAGGTCAGAAGACAGCATCCAATCTGCTGCAACTGGACTTAATGACAGTTAATCGCCATGTGGGTGCTGGGAATCCAAACCCAGTCCTCTGCAGAGTGGCCAGTGCTCTTACCTGCTGAGCCATCTCTCCAGCCCCAATGCTGGTTTTTTTCAAAGAACTGAAACAAACTGACACATAAGGCCCTGACAATACTGAAAGTACAACTGAGTCACACGTATTTCTATGCAGAGAACACTTTGGAAAAGGACACATTTCTTGCAGGGAGAGCTTCTGGGAGACAGGCTCAGATGAGGTTCCCCACCCCACAAACTGGGGCACATACAGACACTCCCACCCACACTTTATTAAGTTTAAGAATTAGTTACAACAGGGGCAGAGGCATTGGGAAGAGAATACCCGCCCCCATCTTCACTGGCACACAATAAATAATAAATAAATAGCTGGGAGTGGGCAGAAAGAGAGGTTGGCACGGCAAACACTGATTGCACAGGGGGGCATGAGGGTCCCCTTCCAAACTCTGCTAACCACCAACACTGGATTCGGGGAGTGGGGGGCCTCTCCATACCACCCCAGAGCCACTGAGGGGCTCACCAGGTCAGTCTGTAGAGGGGTGCCTTCACATTTGGCCCTTTAGTTATTTGGTTTTCTTTGAGACTCTGCAACCCAGGCTACAGAATCCACAGTAATCCTCTTGCCTCAGCCTCCTGAGCGAGCACTGTGATTACAGATGTGCATCACCATACCTGGCTAGGGCCCCTGAAACCCAAACCCTTGGCTAATCCAGTCAGACCCAGATTGTCAAAAGACCACTGTCTCTCAGACTTCTGGATTGTTCTATTCAGGATCTAAGAGGCCAGTGGGTCATTACTTGGAGTCCTGATGGATCTACCTAGGACCCAGGGCATACAAGAGCCACTGTTCCTTAAGCTTCTATTTGGTCCACTAAAGGCCCAATGTGAGTCACAGCCTTCTATTGGTCTGCTCAGGCCAGTAATGTGGTTCCCTAGACCTTTGATTAGTCAATAAGGACCTGAATATGGGCCCTGAGGATGGGGTGGGGTGTGGGCAGGGCCCTTGAGGCCCCCCCCTAGGACGGGATGGGGAGGGGACAAGGAAGTGGGGGAAATCTTCAGTTGGCTTCGGGACCCATACATATCCCAAGTAAGGGAGGTGATACGGGCAGGAAACCTGGTCACCTGGTGGGGTCAGGCCAGGGTGAACCTTCAAGGTGCAGGGGGTGCAGCTTCTGAAGAGCAGAGTGCCTAGCCACTGCTGGAGGTGGTGAGAGGGCCCACGAACCTTCCTGGATCCCAGCTTCCCTTCACTGGGGTCCAGACACTGGTACCAGGGAACCCATGGTGCTGAGACTCTTGACCCATGATCTCCATCTACAAGGTCAGGGAATGGGAAAGGTGGGGCTGTGGCTGCAGGTTGGGTGGGCTCAGTCCTCCAGCCCCTCCATCAGGTCTGCAATGCTCTCCACATAGTAGTGGGGCACAACATCTTGCTGGCCAGCTGCCAGGTAGGCCTGGGCCTCGTCAAGGCGAGAGACACCTGTGAGTGTGAGCACTGTGGTCATGCCGCAGCGGTGGCCGAAGAGGATGTCGGTCTCCAGGCGGTCACCCACCATGAGTGTGTGTGCAGGGTCCACGCCGAAGTCTTCTGTGATGCACTGGAACATGTAGGGGCTGGGCTTGCCAACCACCAGGGCCTGGCGTCCTGAGGCTGTCTCCACTGCAGCGGCCAGACTCCCGGTACCTGTGGAGAGGGGACACTTGGTCAGTAGGAGGGTGGCAGCTGGGGCTGACCTAAGGTCCTTTAGCCACTCTGACTTTTCCTGGACTAGCAATAAAAGGAGGATCCAAGTAACACTTGCCCCAAGAGATTCTGTGGGCACTACAGGACAAGCACTTTGTAAACTCAAGAGGACTTAAAAACATCCATGGTGGTTGTTGCTACACGAAGCCAAGCTCCTGGCATGGAAAATGGGCACAGTCTGTCTGGAATGCAGTGGGGCACAGAAACATCCTCACCTCTAACCCAGTCAGCCTTGCAGGGAAAATGATCCCACGAGAAACTTCCAGCTGGAGACAAAAAGCTGTAAGCTTGAAGATGTCTGAGGCTGCAGTCACTAAGGGAAGTGAAGCTGGGGAAGGAGCCCAAGAGTCTGACAACAGGCGATCTATCTACAAAAGGACAGTCTTGCTTCCCAGCTAGCACCACCCTACTGGCACAGTGAGTCTCTGTTCTGCCCACAGGCTTGTCTTTTTGCCAGAACATTCTGCCTTTACACCAACATCCCGGACCAGATAAGGAAGAGCACCATTGTTTACTTAGCCTATTCTAACTGCAAGGAGCTGCTCTGGGTGCTTGTGAAAGCCCATTTTACAGATGAGAAAGCTGAGGCTTGGTGACATGAAGTCACTTGGGAATCTGAAGCAGAAGGCTCACCCTAAGAATGAAGCCAGCCTGGGTTACACAGTGAGACCTTGCCTCCCACCCCCACCCCCGCAGAGTCAACTTAAACTAAATGAATTTGGTACAATAAAGGAACTATGTTCTGAAAACTCACCTCCTGGTAACTAAAGAACAGTTTACTCTGATCTGTGTTCTTGGGGTGACCAATTTATACGTGTGACAATGGTAACTCCATGCCAAGGGTCCCCAGGCTGCTAGTGCCACATGGGCTAGTGAGGGAGTGTTTTCACCAGAAGTCAGCCAGAGATACCAATCAAGGTCCTCCCCATGATTAAGTGTTTTTCAGTACAGCCCAGCCGGACCCCAAATGCTCAAGGCCTTCACTCTCTGTTCTCACAGCTAACAACATTACACTATTCCAGCTGAGGTCATAGAAAGAGAATGGGTGGGGGCAGCAAGAATGGTAGCCCTGCAGCCCTCAGACAAGAATTTCCCCAGCAACTCAAGATCAGGGTAGAGGTATACCTGGACCTCCAGGTTGGCCCAGAGCACCGCCACATCAAGGTTCCCTTTGACATCTGCCTGGAATCTCGGCACTTGAGAGGTAGAGACAGGAGGATTAGAAGTTTAAAGCCATCATTGGCTACAAAGCAAACCTGCAGCCACTGGGCTATGAGATCCTGTCTCAAAATCCCCAATCAATGTGGCTGGAGAGATGGCTCAGCATTAAGAGCACTTACTACTCTTGCAGAGGACCCTGGGTTTGGTTCCCAGCACCCATATAGCAGCTCACAACCATCTTTAACTACAGTTGCAGGGCTGCTAGCACCCTCTTCTGACTTCCAAGGGTACCAGGCACACATGCATTACATAAACATGCATGTGGGCAAAGAACTCATACACATGAAATAAAAGTAACCAAATGAACTGGTCACTGCTGGAACCCATGTCTCACCACAGTTATTCAGGTAAGCTTTACGGAGGTCCGGCCAGACGCAGCAGACCCACAGTCAACATGAGGATACCTAGTAGGCTGGGAAAGCATCCTAGCAGGGGAGTTCGTGACTACAACCCCCAACCCAAGGCTGGTGTGTGAATGATGTATTCCTACAGTGGTGGCCACTTCTTACCAGCTCAAGTGGCTGCCAGTGGCAAACGGGTACACACAATTCTGTAGGTCCGTGGGTGCAGAAGGGGAGGGACTGGGTGGGAGATTTATATTATTTCAGATCTGATGCATAATGGGAATTTTTAAAAAAATATTTTATTATCTTTATGTGTATGTGTAGTATTGCCTGCATGTAGGTAATTGCACCCGTGTTGTGCAATGTCCACGGAGGTCAGAAGAGGCTGTTGGAGTTACGGACAGTTGTTAACTGTCATGTACCCACATGGGATTTGAACCTGGGTCTTCTTCAAGAACAGTCAGCATTCTTAACTGCTGAGCCATCTCTCCAGCCCCATAACAGGGATCTTTCTTAATTCTTGTTCATGTTTGCTTTTCTGACAGGGTCTTATCTTGAACTGCAGCTGCTCCTGCATATAGATTACAAGCACACCTCCATCTAGTCTTGTTAATTTTTCTCTTCTAATCCCACTCTTTAAAAGCTGCATTACTGGCTTGTACACAAGCCTGGTTGCAGCTCCGTATGTTAAACCTCTGTCTCCCCTCTAGGCAGTAGGAGTGACCAGCAGGTTAGGTGGGCACAAAGACTGTGTGTGTGTGTTTCTGAAGTGGCCTGGTATGTGTTTGTGTGTGTTCATATTCCTGAAGAGGCCTGGCATCTCTTAAGCTCAAGTCACCCTTCCTATACCCTAGGGAAGCCCTTGCCCCATAACCTCAACCGGAGCTTAGAGGCCTCCAGGAAAATCTGACCTGAATAGCATGGGGTGGGGGTACTACAGTTGTGACCTCTCCCCAAGATTTACGAGAAGGCTCATGTGGTCAGATGGCAAGGAGGTCTCAGGCAGAGCTAGGACAGGCCCAGAACAACAGCTTCCCTTCCTGCTACACGATCCTAACACTATGCTGAAGTCTCCTTGCTTACTGTCACCATGCCCAGCAACACACCTCCCACACCCTCTCTGCAAGGGCAGGCCTGCCTCATCACCCCATTACAAACCTTTGACTACTCAATTCTTGCTGCACCCCCTCCCAATTCCTGGCATTTGATATTAAGGATTGTCTGGGCCATGGGTCAGAAGAAGGGATTAGCAGGGATGTATCCATGCCTCAGCCTCGAGTACTAAACCTGTCCATATTCATTCATCACTACCCAGTAGCTTCTGCCTCACTCCAACAACCCACCTGGTCCTGCCTCCCTGCAGGGTTGAGTACCCCCCCTAACAAATGCCCTTGGATAGATGGATAAGGACTGGTCTAAGGGCCAAGTTCAGGTTCTACTCCATCAGCGATGGCTCACTGTGTGCTCTCTGGCAGCTCACTTCCCGACCCTGAGCCTCCCTTTCTTTAACTGAGAAATGGGCCATACTTTTATTTCTGGAGCAGTTTGGAAAGGGAATTGGAAACAGCATGAAGGTGCTTCAGGAAGCTATCGACACACAGTATGAGCTGGCTACAACTCATACCACCCATTCTAGTCACCTGCTCCGAGATGACTGGCACGGTGAGGAGTCCCGCTGGCATCCAGGAAGGGATGCTCTGACGTTATATAACCCAAGAGGATTGACCAAGTGAGCCGGAACTGGAACTGAGATCACGCTCCACTACCCTCCTGTCCACACACGTGACGCCATGCCATCCCGCCTCTGTGCATGGGGATCCAACTCTCCCACGGGGACCATCCCTCCAGGCTGCTTCACCAAACCACCTCCAAAGTGGGTGGGGCCAGATGACTGAAGCCCAGGAGGAGGCCAGTTTCCTAAGAAGGGAGACCTGAATTCCACTTGCAACTCCCTGAGCCGCAATGGGCCTCAACTGGCTTGTCTGTCAAATGGGACCTCGCGGGGGTGGCAGCTGCAGCAATCACGAGATGCGGAGTCTAGGTGCGTGCCGGCCTCCCTGCCCCCTGCGCCTAGGCTCGGCTGCAGGGCGCCCTTGCACCTGTCCCCATCCCCAGTGCCACGCTCACCCGGGGTCCGGCTGCCGTCGCTGAGCGGGTGCCAAGGGTCGCGATCGGTGGCCACGAGCAGGCAGTCGGGGTCGCGCAGGTGCGCGCACGCCTCGCTCAGCCTGGAGAAGGAGAAGTGCTCGTCGTAGCCCACGAGCACGGCGCGCACGCGCGAGTCTTCGCCGGGGTCTCCCGCCAGGCGCAGCCCCGCGGCGCGTAACTCGGCACGTAGCCCCTCTCCGCCCAACACGAACACGGTTCCCAGCGCGTCGGGCGGCCCAGGCAAGCGCTGGCGCAGCAGGCGGGCGGCGCACAGCGCGGAGCTGAAGAGCTGCTCGGCGCGCAGCCCCGCGAAGCCCAGGCGCGCGAAGCGGAGCGCCAGCTCGGGCCGCGCGCGCCGGCTGTTGTTGCTGACGAATAGCGTGGCCTTGCCGGCCCGCGCCAGACGCTGCAGCAGCTCCGGGGCACCCGGCACGGTGCGCTCGCCGTTCCACAGCACCCCGTCGCAGTCGAACAGGACCCCCTGCGTATGGGCCAGAACGTCGCGCAGGGTCGCGCCGCACAGCCGCTCACAGAGCGCCATGCAGCCGGCTGGCCGCTCGCACGCCGGCGCTGCTCTCCCTCCGCGGTCACGGCGCTCCGGGACGGCTCCGCCAATCAGCGTGCCCGAAACGCTGGGGGCGGGGCCACTACCTCGCGCCTCAGCCAATGGGGGTGAGAATCTTGGAGAGGGCCCGAAGTCTGCCGGCAAAGGGAGCTCGGAGAAAAGGGGCGGGGCCGCCGAGCCGAGGGGACCAATGAGGAGCCAGTCTGGCCTCAGCACTTCCCTCTCGCCCTGCTGAGCCAGTCGCTGAAGGAGGAGCGAGGAAGGAAACGGGCAGCGAATAGCCAGGCGCGCCGCAGCCAATTAGAAGCTTAGGCCAGCTGGTTGCTAGGAGGAAAACAGATGCGGTGAGAGAGATGGGTTTGGTTAAATTCTTTGCCCTCTGAACCTTGGACACGCCAAGTTCCGAGCAAAGTCCTGGGCAACATATGGATGTGATGGAGCACGGGCTGCTTGGTGTCCTTGAAGGCTCTGGGGCCGTGAGTCCCGGCCAGTGGTCCCTCCTGGCCCCGCTGGCTGTGCTGTAGAGTCCCCTGCAGAGCTTAATTTTTTTAAATGTGTAATTTGCATGTAAGAGACATAGAGATTAATGTATACAGTTCGATGACTTTCAAAAAATGCTTCTAAAAACACGTATATAGGGACTTGGAGAGATGGCTCAGTGGTTAAGAGCACTGGCTGTTGATGTTCTTGCAGAGGGCCTGGGCTCAGTTCTCAGCACCCACTTGGTGTCCGTAACTCCAGTTTCAGGGAATCTATTGCCCTCTTTGGGCCTCCGTGGACACGGTACACCCGGAGTGCTCTTACATACATGCAGGCAAAACACTCATACACATAAAACAAAAATAAATCTACAAAACAAAACAAACAAAACACTCCCACCGGCCATGGTAGTGGACTAATCCCAGAATTCAGAGGCAGAGGCAGGTGATCTCTGAGCTTGAAGTCAGCCTGATCTATATAATGAATTCCAGGTCAGCCAGGGCTGCATGAGACCATCTCAATAAATAAAACACACACACACAAAACCCTAGATGAAGTGACTCAGTAGATAAAGTCACTTGTTGATAAACCTGATTAGTTTAATCCCAGGAACCCTCATGGTGGAAGAGAACAGACTCTCACAAGTTGTTCTGACCTCACTGTGGCATGGGCACCTACACACAAACACTCTAATAAATAAACATATATAGCAGGAACCCAGAGACCTGATTCAGTGTTTTTGGTGGGAGTTGGGCATGTTTTTGTTTGCTAGTCGCCTATGGCAATGATGGAGTGACCCAGCTGCCTCAGTCCCCATTTGGGGTATGAGACCTTTTAACCTGGAGGATCATTGAGTATCCTGTGCTTTAAAGCGTGGGGATTAGGAATGAATTGTGACCTGTGCTGTCACAATTCTGATTTTATATACCAATCTCAAAGAAGGCTCTGAAGATGTCAGACTCCACCTGGGGAAAAACCATGCTTCTGAGGCTAAACTATTTTCTGTCCCCTCTGTGCCCCAGGCCTTTTGCTCCTGGCCTTTGCATAAGTCATCTCCTTGGTCAAGAATGCTTACTTTTTCCTCTAGCCTTTCTACCTGGCCAGGTCCAGAATGGCTTCCCGTATCTGTCACCTCATCCAGCAAACTCCACCCCTCCCAATATCAAACCACTCCTTGGGTGCTCCACCCCTAACTAGGCTACTAAATTAGGCTTTGGGGCATGGCTGATTCTGATTCTGTGACTTTCACCTGCCCATTCTGAGAATCTGGGAGTTAGCCCACAGTCTGGCACAAAGCAGTTTAGGAAGGTCACTGGCCGATTTTGGAGTAACTTATTGGGTAGTTAGCTATGCAGGGATATGTGTGTTGTGGTATTTACAGGAGTATCTGGCTTGGTTTTCAGAACATGAATGTGGTGGAATTCAGACAAGGAGGATCCTCATATGTGGATATGTGATATCACATGCTGGGCCAGTCCCATCAGTTCATCTCAGGTTCAGGCTTTGTTCCAAGTCCCTTCTTGCTGGTCGTGGCTGGCTGCCTCACCTGAAGGAGATAGTGTCACTACTTCGATGAAAGAATGTCACATGGAAATTAGGCACTGAGAAGTAGCATGCAGCCCAGAACATTGGCTCTTACCACTTCAGACCAGAAGGAAGGAAGTCGAGAATATGTCATTCTTCTGCTTTTTGAAAGTGGCTTCTTTATTTTCAGGACAGAAAATAAAAAGATTGCTTGGGCAGTTGCTCCAGTTTTGTCCAAAATAATTTATTTACCAGCCTTACAAAAATACATTGGCAAGAGAAAAATAAAAGTCCTGTAGGAACAGGCAAGCCTGTCCTTCCTTCTGGTGTCTCCCCTGAGACCCTGCCAGAGAGTGGGGAGTCAAATGGGGGCTCCCAAGCTCAAAGTGGAAGAGGAAAAGGTCAGGAAGTAGGGGGCTGTCCTGAGCCCTCCTGGACATGGGAGCCAACCCAGCAGGCACCCAGGCACTCAGGGTCAAGGGCTATCCTGGGAGAACAAGGTGTGGAGGGAGGGGACACTGAGGCTAGTCAGGCAGGAGGGCCTGCTCAGTCTGTTTCTGAGGTGAGGCCCCTGGGCCGGGGCTGAGGTGGCAGAGCTGGGGGAGTGGGACGCTCACCTACAGTCTCAGGGACCCTTTTATCTTCTATGGCTGCTTCCTGGTCCACCTGAGCAGGCATGTTTGAAGTGACCAGGCCAGGGAAGTCTGGGCTGGGGGAGGCTGGTGAACGCCTGCTTTGGCGCCGGGCAGGCTGTGGAGGAACAGGAGGCAACGGGGGAGGTACAGTGGGGGCCCGGAGGCTAGTGCCAACCATACGACGGGGCAGAGCTCGGGGAGTGCCGGGGCTGCCAGAGCCAGGGGGCAGGGGTGGAGCCGGAGGAGATGAGCGGGTGCTGGAGAGCTGGGGGGGTGGCATGGTAGGTCGGGCAGGTGCTGGGCGCTTAGCTGTAGAGGAAGCAAAAGGGAAGAAAGTCAGGGGTCTACACACCTAGGTACAAACACAAACTGTCCTACCTCAGGGCCTTTCTGCATTCCTTCTGCCAGGGATACTTGGCACAGCATCCTCATTATTTAAGTGTCTCTTCACCTCCCCTCCATAGAGGTCTCCTGACCACTCAGGTTACAGCAGATCCTGCCCAGGCCCCACCTCAGTTACTCTGTCACATTTTCTAGTTTTACTAGATTTGTCCTCTGAAACTATCTTGTCCAATTTTCTCTTACCTAGTCATTGTCTCCCTCCCTAGAACATAAACCCAGCAAAGTCATTCCATGTTAGCACAGGCTAACACAGTCTAGGTATGGAAGAGGTGTTGATACACACCTATTTGCCATATGAATGTCACTTGTCTCTGTTGACACATGGGTCTTGCTCAGTGCTCAGAAGCACTCTAGAACTGCCGTGCCCCAAATCCCCTAGCAAGTTCTGACCTTATGAGGCAACTGAGGGGCTGGGTGGGGCCCAGAGGTCTTGACTCTCTCTGACTCCATGGACTGGGGTTTCTGGAGTGATTCACTTGCTCCTTGGGGCTGTTTCCTCATTGGTAAGATGGGTGAGAACCCCAACCTCCCACAAGTGATGGGGCTAGCTTGGGCCACAGCAGATGGGACCAGTGTGGGGTATAGGGCTTTCAGTAAGTGCCCCTCCTCCAGGAAGGTCGCTATGTGGCCTGGAGATCACTCTTCTAGCTGCTCCCCCAGCTCTACATCAGAAACCCATCCATAGACGTCTGTCTTCAGGGCTGGGTGAGGCCTCCCCAGTGTACCAGTCCCCACATGGCTCTTACCTGTCCACTCTGAGCCAGGATGACTCAGAAGCTCAGGAGACTCCAGAACTCCTCCCGCTTCTCCCTTACCCTTTGAATAGTCTTGGTTCTGTCCTCTGTAGGGCCTGGACTTCCAAGGCCTGGACACCCCCACATTCACACTGGCTACTTTCCTCCAGTGTTTCCTAGGTGCCAACACCCTACACCCTACCTCTGGGCCCAGTACCTTCTCCAAGCAGCCCTTAGAGGTCAGGGCAATTAAAGTTCTATTAAATAGAAAAGGACATTGAAGCTCAGATGGGCAACATCACCTGCCCAAGACCACCAAGCTGGACTCTGAGTCCAGAGTGCCAGGCAGCAAACCCTAGTCTCCTTGCCATCACCATTGATGGCCTCTCTGGTATTCTAAAAAGATGGGGAAGGCTGGGATTCCCCACTCTCTGTCTCATCTCCCCCACAGCCAACTTACTCTTCCGAGTCACGTCCTCTGCTGAGGCAGTGGTTTCTGGGGAGCTCTTGCTGACCTTGGGGGAGGCTGGTCTGGGTAGCAATTCAGACTCTGTCCTGCCAAGGAAAGGAGAAGGGCAGGATTAGGCTTAGCCATCTCTTGGAAGTCACCTAGAATCCTGGGTGACTCCTCGCCATTGGGTGGTAGAATTTGGGTCTTCCCAGAACTTGTTCTCCACAGAATATAGCTGTGTCAAGAATCTGCCCCCAGTATGAGTGGGTCCCTCAGGAAGGTACTTTTGGTATTGGTGGGGTTTGTGTCCATTAAGCTCCTCATTGCTGTGTACTAGGTGGGACGGTCCACAGGGCCAGAACGGGAGATGGAAATTAAGGTTTCCCCTGCCTCAGCCTCCAGGTGATCTGTTTTCTTTCTTTTTTTTTCTGTCTTTTTGAGACAGGGTCTCCCTGTAGCCCAAGCTGGCCTGGAACTCACTATGTAGTCCAGGCTAGCCTTGAACTCACAAAGCTCCGCCTGTCTCTGCCTCCCAAGTGCTAGGATTAAAAGTGTGCGCCACCACGCCCAGCATCTTTTTTCTTTTTTGTGACAGTATCTCATGTAGCCCAGGCTAGCCTTGAACTCTCTGTGTAGGTGATGATGACCTTGAACTCCTTATCCTCCTGCCTCTATCTCCCAAGTGCTAGGATTAAAAGTTGAGTACCACTGTATCCAGTTCATGCAGTGCTGGGGATCAAACCTAGCCTTCCTGCACGCTGGGTCAACACTACCAACTGAGTTACACATTCAGCCTTCCATGTGATCTTTCAGGGATTTTCTGCTGACATGCGCTGGAAAGCCAGGGGAGCAGCAGTGGAGAGTCCACACTCGGGTCGGGCTTCCTGCAGTCTGTCTGGCCTTCCTTTCCCACACACGTGCCCCAGCTTTCCACTCTACCATATACTGCCTCACCCTCCAGCCGAGCACACATGTGGCCTGGCATCACAGGGTGCCATGTGATGGACATATCCACTCTCCCTGAGCTGCCCCCCACCCCAGAAGACAGGTGCTAAGTGCAACACATGTCTGCCTTATCTAAGGAAATCCATGGTGTGGCCACAGTCTGTGGGTCACTCACTACATCTGCCTGTCCTACTAAGCCTTGCAAACTTAAAAGGATTGGAGACTGGAAGGTATTTATAAATTCCAACAGTCCCCTCCCAGTTTCTTAAGTCTCTAGAGCCTGAACAATACCTGGCCCATAGCAGGTGCTCTAGAAACAGCCATACAATGGAGAAGCGAACATGTCTAAGGCTGAGAGTGGTCTCCTCCCACCCACTCCAACCTGGAGACCAGATCTATAGGACAAAAAGGCACCAATTACATTTTCTAAGTCTTCAGAGACAGGGCTGCAGGCTGATGTGTGTGTGGCACTCACCTTTCCTTCATAGTCACTGAGGTGGGGGAGGGAACCAGAGCTGGAGCTGGGGTGGCAGCCGGTGTGGGTACAGCAGCCGGTGACGCCTCCTCAGAGGCCTGTTGGCTGCTGACCTTATCCTGGGGGGCCAGGGATGAGAAGAGGCCTGACACATCGAAGTTGATATCTGGAGGCAGAAGGAGCAGCTGTTAAGTCCAGAGCCTCTGCCAGCCTCCCCACCAATGGCCAGGGCCAGTCTCTAGTTCCTTGAAATAATGGGGACCATTCTTTGCAATTCCAGTTCCCTGAAATAATGGGGACCACTCTTTGCAATTCCATTCCCACAGGTCAGGCTGGACTGTCCCCATTTCACAGATGAGACACTACGGCTCAGGGCAAAGAAGCAACTTCCTTTAGGCTGAATGGAATTTGTGGGGCTACCAGGGGCTGAGACTGGGTTGGGAACCCTGGAACTGTTTGAAAGGGGACAGCAGTGGGTAATAGGAAAGCAGGAGCTTCACCTCCAGGGAAGAGGGTGTCTGCATTCTGTATCAGAGCTTCAACGACGCCCACCACCTGGATGGAGGACACGGAGGCTGCGTCCAGCTGGGCCTGGTCCCTGGTATAAGAGAGAAGCAAGTGTTTAGTGACCCCAACACTCTGTTCCTGTGCTGGGCAGCTGATGACAAATGTGTTTATATGCTCCATCTTCCCTTCCTTTACCCATAACAGACATCACTAATTAATCCTGGGTTCTTTTCCCATTGTTCTTGGACTAACTGCCCCCACCAAGCAATTGCAATTCAGCACATGAGTCAAAACTTTTGTGTCATTCATCTGTGGCCTGAAGAGTAATGAGGAATATTACCTATCACTGCACCTCACAGTTTGTAAAACATTTCCTATGTAATTCCCACAGCAAATCCCCTCAGGGCTTATATAATTTTTCCCTAATTGACAGATGAGGGAGAGGATATCTAGAGAGTGACTCCCTAAAGCCCATGTCTAGAGGGTTGGGAGTGGGGCATAAATCATCTCTTGGGGTTCCCAGCACCCAAACCAGATCACTAGGTAGGTGCTCCATCACCACCATTACTCTAGTCCCTCATGGTAGCCTTGAGTTTAAGAGCTGCTCAGCCCACTCCACGGATGGGGAACTGAGGTCCAGGGAAATTAGCAGCAGATGGCTGGTTGGAGGCAGCCTCTTTGCACTCAGGACCCTCACCCTTCTTTCTCAGGAGGCCACAGCAGGTTGGGCCCCAAGACAATGGCAATGTTGCTGGGCGTCATCTTGTTCACCTCCTGCTCCTCCGCCAGTCGTGCCAGGAACTTCATCAGGTACCTGGGTGGGTGAGAGTTGGGATTGGGCAGGGCCAGTCTATCTTGGGTCCTAAATACCCACCGATGTCCTTAAGGCTGGAGAGCATCCCATCCCAGGGTTTCCAGAGTGGGACAGAGACCACGTAACATGGTTTTAAGTTTCTTTTACTAAGTTTCCTGATCTACTTATTGAGCACCAACTGTGTGCAAACAGAGAGCTACGCTGAGACCCTTCAAAGCTATCAGGTGGTAGGGACTTTTCCACTGCTGCTACTGGTTTGAGCTTCCTGGCCAGGGCTCGCAGTGGCAGGACTGGGGTCTGAAGCCAGGCAGCATGGTCTCACAGGTTCAAGAGCCTTTGTTTGTTTGCTTTTCGAGACAGGGTCTCTTGTAGCCCAGGCTGGCCTCACACTCCATGTAGCCAAGGACGACCTTGAAGTTCTAATCCTCAAGCCTCCATGACTATAAGCATACACCATATCCAGTTTATGCAGTGTGGGGATCGAACCCATGTCTTCGCATATGCTAGGCAAACACTGCCAACTGAGCTACTTACAGCCCTAGCCTGAGGTGGTTTTTTTTTTTTTTTTTTTCAGGCAAGGTCTCACTCTGTAGTCCAGGATCATTCTCCCACTTCAGCCTCTCAAGTGTTAGGATGATACGCGTGAGCCACCATACCTCTTTGGGATTTATTTATTTCAATAACTAGTCTAGTATGAAAAGACAGCCCCAAAACATTAATAGTTGAGTTTTTGGAAATATTGCTTCAGATACATTAGCAGAGCAAGATTTAAACCCAGAGCTCTGGCTTTGGGGGGCAACTGGAGAGGTGGGCTTGGGTTCACCTGAGGTTGTTGATGTTCTCTTGGGGCAGGCAGCTGCAGACATCCCGGAGGGCCTCCAACCGGGCTGCGGGTTCTTTCAAACTGGGTAGAGAGAGCCACCCGTGAGCCCCCTCAAGGCCATACCTTTGGAGCTGCCTCCTCCCTATTCCTCTCATCTCTACTCCCTCACCTGGCTGCTCTCATCCAGTCATCATAGAGGTCAGAAGTCATCAGGGGCTCCGGCAGCTCTCGGAGATAGGACTTGAGGGCACCTGAAGTAGGGTCGGGGGGAGGTCAAACTCTCCATCCTCTGTGCCCAGGGACCTGGCTCTCTCCACATAGAAGGAACCTCCAGCCTGTGTTCACACTAACATGTGTAGGTCTGATAGTTTTCTGGGGTAGCAGGCCTTTTTTTTTTTTTTTAAATATCTTATTATTTTTATTTTATGTATATTCATGTATTGCCTGCATGTAGGTAAGTGCACCCATGTCGTGTAAGGACCGTGGAGGTCAGAAGAGGCTGTCGGATCTCCTGGAACTGGAGTTATGGACAATTGTTAGCTGCCATGTGGGTGCTGGGATTCAAACCTGGGTCTTCTGCAAGAACAGTGTTCTTAACCATTGAGCCATCTCTCCAGCCCCAATATATTTTTATTTTATGTGTTTGAGTGTACTGCTTTCATGTGTGTAAGTTCATTTTTTAAATATTTTATTTATTTATTTATTTATTTATTTATTTACTTATTTGTCTTTTGAGACAGGGTCTCCTTGTAGCCCCAGCTGTCCTGGAACTCACTATGTAGATCAGGCTGGCCTTGAACTCACAGAGATCCGCCTGCTTCTGCCTCCCGAGTGCTGGGATTAAAGGCGTGCGCCACCACACCCGGCTATTATTTATTATTTTTATGTATACACATGTATTGCCTACATGTAGGTAAGTGCACCCATGTTGTGCAATGCCTGCAGAGGACAGAAGAGACTATCGGATCCCCTGGAACTGGAGTTATGGACAGTTGTTAGCTGCCATGTGGGTGCTAGGATTTGAACCCGGGTCTTCTACAAGAAGTCAGTGTTCTTAACCGCTGAGCTATCTTTCCAGGCCCGGGTAGCAGGGCTTTTAACAGAATAGTTAGCAGACTTATCCCAAGAAAAAACACATGTGTGTTTCAAAGGGCTCATTACAGACCTGCATAAGGGATCCCCCCTCCTCCGTTGTCTCCTTGGTGGTAGATCAGGCGTAAAGCCAAACTCTCCCAGGATTACCTCAGGCAACTGTGGCCCACACCCCTACCTTCTTCTCTGAACTTTCTGGATCAAGTACCTGCCACTGCATGGGGGTCGGAGCAGAACTCCCCCAGGCTATGGGGGTCTGAGGCCATTGTCTGCTTAAGGCGCTTCAGCACTGAGGCTCCAGCAGCCAGGCGGAAGAGGCCCTGAGGTACAAGAGGGAACAGATTGGGGGGTCACAGAGGGGTGGGTAGGGCAGGGCAGAAGCAGGCTGCTGGCCTGCAGCATCTCCACTGGTTTGGTGGGCAGAGTGGACATCATGGTTTCTATGGACCCTCTCAACTCTCAAGGTCTGGAATTCTGAGCAAAGGGCAGGGAAGTGTGGGGAGCTTGTGGAAACTGTGGGGAACAGGAATCTTACTAGGAGTGGAAGGGAAAGGTGGCAAGTCTGTAATCTGCTCATCTTTGGGCATTCTATCTTTGGGTTATATTTCACCTAAGGGTCTATCCTTAGGAAATGGCTAGCTTGTGAAAGGGAATGTACTGTGGAGCCCTGGTTCCGGGGCTACTTCTTCATGTGACTTTGGGTACATTTACCTCTTTGCCTGTCTCCCCCTTGCCAAATAGAGCCAATAAGGACTTTTTTCCAGGACCACTGGGACCAGTAAGTGTAGCAAGTACACTTACCAGTAAGTGTAAGCACAGTGCCTGTTGCATAGTGACAGGACCCTGCCAGTGCCATTTAATGCAAACAGAGTTAGTCTGGTAATGGGAGGCCATGTCTTCCCAATGGGGTAGGGAACTGCAGGGTACCAGGGCAGGGCAACATGGGGGCCTGTCACTCCCTCTCCAGCTGCTCCAGTCCTACCTCCTCCTGCATGCCCTCAGAGAGCAGCATCAGGACGCAGGCCTCGATGGGTAGGGCGATGTCCCGACCCAGCTGTTGTAGGTGGGTTCCCAGTGATACCCCATACATTCTGGAGAAGGAGGCAGCCGTAATCAAGGGGGAGGTGTCTGTGGGGATGAGACAACACTGTTGCAGTAGGGCCAGGGTATCCCTAAGAATCCACCTTCTACCCTGCTTCGGTGGCACACTTGTCATCATCCAGTTCATCTTGAATCTGCACACTTCTGCTCTGTTGTCCAGATCCCAACCTCCTAGAAGACTTGGCTCCAATCTTACCCATCCTCCATTCCCCACACAACAGCCAGAGCATCTCTCCACAAAAAGCTACTCCAGCCCTCCCCTGCATTCATGGCTCCCCACTGCTTTTCTGGATGAGAAGCAAGTTTCCAATAGAGCCCTGAGCAGGGCAGGGTCAGTGGTATGAGGCTGGCCTACCCATGTCCCCACCTGCTTGGCTGCTGTTTTCTCTCAGCTCAGCCAGGGCTGTGTCCAGTGAGCTCAGTGATCTGCGATGGTAATCAGCCTGAATCTCCAGGATCTGTAGGGACAAAGGGTACCCCCAAGGGAGATCTCCTCAGGGTCTTCAGAACAGACACACCACCATCTCTCAGGGATCCCAGAGGCTCTTCCCAATGGCATTCACCCTGAGTTCCAGAGAGTTAGGGCTGGGTCACAGACTCACATGAATGAAGTAGTTAGCATATGAATCCTCCTTGGTGGCAAAGTGGTATAGGTCAGCCAAGTACTCATCCTTGGGGGCAGAGAGGAGAAGACAGGTCGGACTGGGGTCTGGAAGGGAAGCTGAGGCTGGGAGGCAATGGTAACCTGTCCAGAGCTGAGCAGCTGTACATGGAAAATTCCAGCCAGCTTTCTCTCTTGGTCTGTACTTGGGGCCAGCCCACAGAACCCCCTCAAACTTTTGAGCTTTTCAGCTTCAAGGTCTTCATGTCAAAATCTTTATAACCTTAGCACAGTGTGTTCTTATTTACCACGCAATCCTTTTTCCTTCCTTCACTCACTCCATAAACACCATCCATGCATTACTAAGCAAACACCACTAACTCACTCATTCACTCCCTGAAATCATTCATTGATTCATTCCCTCTGCAAATACCATTCATTCATCCAATCAGGGAACACCGCTTAATTCATTCACTCACTCAGAAAACATCATTTATTCACTCAGCAAACACAGAGAATCCAGTGAACAGATCATGTCCCTGTTTCTCAGATGTTATGCGGAGGGTCTGAGTAACGCTCATAAATTCTGGCCCCTAACTGCCTGGATTCAAAGCTTAGAGCTGCCTTGGCCAGTCATGTCCATCTCTGAGCCTCAGTTTCCTCCTCTGCAAAATGGACACAGTAGCCACACCTACCACTCCCAGGAACTCCAAGTGACCTCACCTTGCACTGCTCCACCTTCTTCTTCAGCTCCTCCTCCTCCTCTTTCAGCGTCTCCGCCTTGTTGGCAGCGGTGGTGTGGCTGTAACCACTCGGGCCACCGCCCAGGCCTTGACTGCTCCCAGAGTTCTTGGCTGCCTGGCTGAGCCTGGGGATGATCCAAGGTGGGTGGTCACTGGCCCCACTGCACGGCCAGAGCCAATTGTTCCTTCCTTACACAGAACTACACAGGATTCCAGGATTTATAGATGCAAAGATGCAAATCCCTTGGGCTCCTGCCCAGACTTGGCAGAAGGACTCTAGGGCTCCCTCTGGTGGTGTTCGTGGTCACATGACCACAGTCACCTAGCTCCAGAGTGCAGGATGCAGGCCCTAGAGCCATCCAAGGATTTTGGAGGCTTGTGGTTATCTTAGGTTTGGAGGCACCAGGGAGCATGTGTACACTTTCACATGTACTCTCGCCACATGTGTTCTGAGATCAGCGTGGGCACAAGTACCCACTAGGCCTTGCAGTGTCCTCATGGGACCTGACCTAAACTCAGGTGCCTACCTGCTCTTGAGGGTGTTCCAGTCGGACACCAGTTTCTGCAGGCTCTTCTTGTGTTTAAGAATGGCAGGTAACTCTTCCTGAGGACAGGCACAGGGAGGGTTCAAGGACCTGAGGGGGGATGCAGCAGGGTGGGGAGGCAGGAGCTGGGGGCCAGGGTTACCTCGCTTAGCCTGCTGAGCGGCTGCAGGACATCCTTCTCCAGGGTCATCTCGAACTCGGCCAAGATGCGGGCCAGCTGGTTCTGGATCACACAGCTCATCTCCAAGGCCTTCCTGTAGACGCAACATCTAGTGGGTGAGGCTCCCTTCGGTCCTTCACCCCCATCTGGGAACACTTGGTGGGCCCTTCCCCATCCATCAGTTCCTGCTTTCTCAGGGCTTGCCACTCTTACTGACCTCGACATTCCAGCTGACTGGGACCCCTCTCCCAACCTCCTACTGCTTTCTGGCATTCTCCCAGGCCCTGTTCATGCTCACCCCATGCTGGAATCAGGGTCCAGTTCCTTAAAGCTCTCGGCCATCGTGGTGGACAGAGCCATGAGAGGAAGCTTTTTCTGCAGGGAGGGTGGGGTGAGCGATGCATTGACACCTGTTTCACTACCACACCTGAGCCTTGAGGTCCTAGCCATCACCTGCCCCTCTCCACCAAAAAAACTCCCCTTGGGTAGGGGGAGGAGTGAACCCAGCAGGTGAAAGTGGAAACTGAATGGTGACAGGATGTGGAGGGGGGACACCTCCCTCCCCAGAAGTCACTTGATTGGGCAAGAAGGATCAGTTCCTTGGAACACTGGGAAGCCAACATGCAGAGAGAGCTGGGAGCTGGCCCACGGATACATCACAGGAGAGAGAAAAGAGGAGCTAGCCCAATCAATCCCTCCCATCCATGCCTCAGGGCATAGTGGCTGATCTGGTAACCATGGAGCTCAAGCTTTGCATGGCTCCCTATTGCCCCACTCCCTCTGACCAGAGTGATTTTTAAACATCCCCACACTTCTACCCAGAGTTATGGAAAGGGCCACATTTAGGATCAGAGAGACCAATGGTCAAATCTCACTTTGTCACTAATAAAGCATGACCTTGGGTAAATAAATTTAGGCCTTGGTTTCCTATTATACACAAGTGCCTTCTGTGAGGCCTGTCACCAGCATTCAACAGCATTTGGGGAGACAATGCATTAGCCATCTTAGCAACAAACTGGCAGGAGTCTGTCAATAAATACCTCCTGTTGAGTAACAGTGAGCATCACTTTATCCAGCCCAAACAGCACTCCACCCACCCAGAGTGCTTATTGGATATGCTGATTAGCAGCAAATTTCAGATGCTACCAGAAGGCCCCATCCCTCACCACCCAGGGCCCTCCTCCCCAGGACCCCTACTCACCACCCGCTTCTCTATGTCAGCCCCACTCTGGCCCTGCAGACAGGCCTGCAGCCGTTTGTGGACATTGTGGGCTGCCCGCTTAGCAGGTTCTAGCCGCTGCTCCACCTAGGGGGGACACGGAAGGGACAAGGGACATGTGGGGACTGTATGAGAGGAGTGGTCAGTCCCTCTCAATTGCCCAGTAGCATCTCTCAGGGCAAGAACCACCTTTCTCTTCCCTCCTGGAGCCCTGGGCTAACAGTGTAGGGAATGACTCAAAGGGAGGGGGACCCAGCTGGTGTCCCCGTCTGCCAGCCCCTGTGCTGACAGCCTGCACAGGCCTGCCTCCCAACCCTGCCCGCCCAGGCACGTACCTGAAGCAGGTCCTCACCCAGGAACTCAGCAGTCTCTGGTGTGCTGTGGGAGGGGGGGGGGCTTTTGCTGAGCCAGCCAGGGTTAGGAAACCCCCTGCCTCCCTGTCCCCTGCACATGGCACCTGTGCCCCAGTTGTTTCCAGGTACTCTTCCACCCTGGGTGGCTTATCTCCTTCATCCCAGTCAGAGCACATTCCACGGGTGGGAAGAAGATACATGACTGCTTCCTCCTCCACCCAGGGATGTGTCCAGGAGAGGGTGGACCCATGCCACCAAAGGGACATGGGGGAGCCACCCAGGGCCTAGCTTTGGGCCATAGAAGCAAAGCCTCTCTTCTTCCCATCCTCCAAGTTGCTTGCCTCTCCGGGAAATCGGAGGCTTAGGCTGTCCCCCAGAACGAGAAGCGTGGGTGCTGGACTTCTGGGCTTTCAGACACACTGACTCTGGGCTGCAGCTGTGGGTAGGTTCTTAGACTCTGACCAGGGACACATGGGGGACAATGAGTAAGGTGGCCTGGGTGCCTAGGTGAACACAGGTGTCTATGTCAGTGTAGGACTAGAACAAGTTTTGGGATACCGTGTCCCCTCCCCCGGGCCCAAAGAATGAGGAACAACTAGCCTAGGGAAGAGGAGTAGAAGACGGGCCCAAGAAGCTCCCCAAACTTCCGCTCTGGCGCTGAGGGCAGAATGGAGAGACCTCGGGGGTGTTTCTACCTGCGCCTGGGAAAAGCAGAAGCGGGAGCAAAAAGCCGGGGACCCCTTGGCTGGGGGAGGGGACAGACACTCAGGACAGAACAGGCCCCTCCTCCCCAGGCCAGAACGTTGTTAATCCCCTCCCCCAAAGTCTGGGGCCCTACTCGGGCCTGCCCCTCCCCCACCCAGCAGTCCGAAGTGTTTGGTTAACTGTTCCCATTGTCCGGAGGGGACAAGTGAGGCTAGGGAGGACTGCCTCCTTGGAGGCTTGGAGAAGCAGCGTCCTGGCTCAGGACGCATCAGCCCACTGCAACCTCTCCAACGAGGAGCGGTGGTGTCCCTTGCCCGCAAAGGCCAGCAGTGCCTGGGCGACCAGGGTGGCTTCAGAGGCCAGGAAGCGAGGTCAAAGTTCTGGAGGGCCTGAGAGCGGCTGCTCAGCTGTCCCTCCTTCCTCCCCCACCGGTTCCTCGCTCTTCTGCACCCGCTCAGGTCCTGCCGGGCGACAGCAGAGCTGGAAGGGGGTGACACTCACCGTCCCAAGCTACCCGTCTGGGCCAGCTGCCGCATGCGGTGCAGCTGCCTCTTCATCATCTTGGGGCCGGGCTGGGGGCGGCGGGGTCACGATGGGGGTCAAGGCCGGCAGACCCCCGGCCCAGCCTGCTTCCCCGCGACACTGCGCCCCGGATGGGTGGGCGGCGCTCTGGCTTCCTGGGCCGCCGCACTCCTCCAGCTCTCTGGCGCTGGCACTCTCCTCCCCCGCTCACGACTCCGCCCCCGGCCCCCAGGTCACTCCTCTCTCCTAGTTTGGAGTCTAGCTCTGCCGCGGCTTCCGGGCCTCCTTCGACCCCCGACAGGTCTCCTGGCTACTGTCCGTCAGGCCGTCCCTCTGCGGTCCCCAGGTTGGGTGTCTGCTCCTCCTTCCCGCACCCCGCCCCGTCGCGGTGGCGGGAAGCAGGTAAGCCACTTGTGCCACCGCCCTCCCGCCGCCGCCCTGGGTATAAACAACCTTTGCTCCCTTCTTAAAGGGGAAAGAGGGCTCGGTGCCTAGAAGGGACAGGCCCAGGACAGGTCTTCTAGACCTGTGAGTACCAGTCACCAGGGGATGCTGCCCAGAGACTCCTTGCTGCAAGATCATCCTCTGGCCATCTGGAGCTAGGCCGTCCCCCATGCCTGCTGGACCACTGGCTTCCTTGGACTCCGTACTCACTGTCCTGATGGGATAGCTGGCCTGGCTATGCCTATTTACAGGGTAGACAAGATACCCCAGCCTACTCCTCAGCCTCAATTCCTGTTCCTGTCCCCTGCTTTTTAAGGGGCCTCAGCTTGGACAGTTTTCTTCATCTGTAAAGCTCCTTCTTCCTCCTGGCAAAGGTCCCTAGTCCCTGCCCTTCCTTCTTGTAAGGCAGTGATGAGGGTGCTGCTCTGAAACCCCAAAACTTGGCAGGGAGTTACCTCTTTGGCCCTCTGTTGAAAACAAAACTGGGCAGTACAGTAGGTGTTCTATAACTGCTAGTGACTACAGGGTAAGAGAGCCTGTGGGCAACAAACTGTAAGCTGGCCCCAGTGCTTGCACCCCTCTGGCATCGGGCTGGGGTGGGGGCGGGGCCTGCAGGAAGCCCTGAGCACGCACTGCACTTTGTTAGTTTCAGTTCAGTGTCAGCCTACTTTGAGCACCTACTGAGTGTGGGTGGACACCTTTGGCTCCAGACTACTCCATAGTCCCTGTGCCCAGCACAGGGCCTGGCACCTAGTGGGCATTCACTGGGAGTGGGCAGCCCCTCCATTCACTGAAGAAATCCCACTGAGGCTGTTTTTTAAATTTTATTTTATGCTGGGCATGGTGGCACAGGCCTTTAATCCCAGCACTCGGGACATAGAGGCTCTGTGAGTTCAAGGCCAGCTTGGTCTATATAGTGGGTTCCAAGGCTAGCTGGGGCTACAGAGAGACCCTGTCTCAAAAAAAGACCAAAATTTATGTGTTTTGAGTGTTTTGCCTGCATGTATATAAGTGCACCACATGCATGCAATGCCCACAGAGGCCAGAAGAGGGCACTGGATCCCCTAGAACTGGAGTTAATGGGTAGTTGTTAGCTACCATGTGGGCACTGGAAGCTGAACCCAGGTCCTCTGCAAGAGCAACCAGTGCTCTTAACTGCTGAGCCATCTCTTTAGCCTTTAAAAATGTTTTTATTTATTTATTTACTTATTTATTTATTTTTTGAGACAGCTCTCACTGTATAATCCTGGCTGGCCTGGAACTCTCCATGTAGACCATGCTGGCCTCAAACTCACAGAGATCCACCTGTCTCTGCCTCCCGAGTACTGAGATTAAAGGTGTGAGCTACCATCCTGGCTAATTATATTTTTTATTTGCTATTTATCTGTGTGTGTGTGTCTACACATGTGGGTAAGCATTACTGAACTTATGTGTAGGTCAGAAGACGACTTGTAAGAGTCAGTTCTCTCCTTCCACCGTGTAGGCTCCAGGGATTAAAGCCACGTGGTCAGGCTTGGTGGCAGGTGCCCCACTAAGTCATCTCACCAACACGTCTTTTTATTTTGAGACAGTCTCACTAAATTGCCCAGGCTGGTCTTGAACTGGCAATGCTCCTGCCTCCCCAGGAGCAGGGATTAAGGGACCTATTGACTAGGGTGGAGCACTACCAGGCTGGTTCAGGGCTTGGTCCTTGGTTCAATGCCCAATCCTACCTAGCTCATAGCTGAGTCCTCGGGCTCAGCAGTGTGGAAGAGGCATGACTGACTTGGATGGCAGGTGACCATATGAAACCAATGATCAATTACTTGCAACTTCAAGGATGGCAAGAACAGAGCCCTGGAATGTAGAGGGGGGATGTCTCTCACCAGCCCAGTAACTGAGTGACCTTGGATGAGATAGCTCACCCATCAGCCTCAACCTCAGACATCATAGTTTAATAGGATTTCAGGAATTATTGTGTAAACTTCTCAGAAAAGTGCCCGGCATCATCTGTTATCATCGGTCACCAAAACTCAGGAATGAGAGGAGCCTTGACCCCCCCCCACTCCTGCCCTAGTTGTCCCTGAAATATGTTCAGCTGCCTCAGGGCAACAGGACTTACTGGCATGCCCTTTCAACCTCCCCTGAGGTAGGTATCTTTGCTCCTATTTGGCAGGTACGCAGACAGAGGCTTCTGGCCCAGGACCCCCAGCTGGCTAAGTGGTAGAGGCCTGATCAAATGGCAGACCTAAGGCCCAGGAGCCATGGCTGCTGTCCTGCTATGTACATGGCATTTTCTGGAAACTCCATCAAGGCTGATCTTGCTCCTGCCTTCACTGTGACCATTTTGAGGGACCCAGCAGTCTACACAGATTTGCCTGCTATTTCTGTGACGGTCTGAGCAGGATGTGGGCAGGGGAGCCAGTAGGCTGGCTGGGGTGGAGGTTGTTGGCAGGATAGTGGGCAACATCCTCTCTTCTGAGACACTTTGCTACATGGCTTGCTTGTGGTGTATATGGCACTGCCCTGAGTGGAGGCTTCTGCCCATGGCTAGACACAGGTATACTTTCTGGGGTTCTCTAACTGCCTTGCTCACACCTCACCCCTACAGGTCAAAAGGTCTTTCTAGGAACCCTGAGGTGGGTCCGAGGCAGGAAGACTATCTCAGTGCTCCTAGCCCTGGAAGAACGTGTGTTCTTGACCTCAGCTCTGAAGGGCAAGTAGACCAGGTGACAGGTTTAGAGAGGGCAGGCTCAGGTGGCTGGATTAACCTGCCTTGTGGGGGCCACCACCTCTGGAGACTGCTGGTCTAGCCTCAGGCCCTAGGGGATGACCTCCAGAGCCTCATTTAAGCTGAGACTCAGCTTCCTGTTTTCACAGGACAGTGAGAGGACTCAGGCAGCAGGCCCAGCCGCATGCCAGGACAGGTGGCTTCCCTTGGCTATCCTGCTGGGCATGTGCCCGAGGCACAGTGGATGCCCCAGGGCAGCAGAGACCTCTCTCTAACTCTTGGCTTCAGCCTATGGATGAGCAGAGTTGTTACTAAAGAATTAAATGTTGACCCTGGCCAGCGGGTCAGAAGTGGAAGTGTAGCTTTGAGGTCTGGGAAGTCCCGCTGCTGTGGTGATGGGGGTTCATCCAAGAGACAGAGCAGACACTTCCCAGGGTACCTGAACCGAGATGGGTATAGACTCCATTCACATCTTGTCCTCTCTCTCCTGAGGGCACCATGCTGGGATCCAGGCTCCCAGGTTCTTGTAGGCCTGTATGCTCTGAGACAGGTATGCCTGGTATGGGACAGCTCAAGAAGCATGGGTGTGAGTGACAGACAGTAGATGGATGAACTAGGTCGGGAGGGAGAGTCAGGAAATTAAAGGGGTACCCCTGTGAAAGCCTGGGCTCTTTGGCCTACAAATTCCTCAGAGGGTCATTACTGGTCCTCTGGGCTTTTACCCTGTGTCCTTTTCTTTTTAAAAAATTTCATTTATTTTTATGTGTATGAGTGTATTGCCTGCATGTATGTAAGTGCACCTGTGTCGAGCAATATTCTCGGTCAGGAGAGGGCTTTGGATCCCCTGGAACTAGAGTTATGGACAGCTGTTAGCCGTCATGTGTGTGCTGGGTGCGTGCTGGGAATTGAACGCTGGTCCTCTGCAAGAGCAGCCAGTGCTCTTAACCACTGAGCCATCTCTCCAGCCTGCCCTATGTCCTTTTCAAAGAATCTAGAGACCTAAAAGGGAGGGCGTTTTGCTGAGTCAACAGAACAAGCTTGTGACTTTGGAACCCACATGTGGGGGGCTGGAGAGATGGCTCAGGGGTTAAGAACACTGGTTGTTCTTGCAGAAGACCAATCCCAGCACCCACATGGCAGCTAACAACTGTCTGTAACTCCAGTTCCAGGGGATCCGACAGCCTCTTATGTCTTCCGAGGGCATTGCATGACACAGGTGCACTTACCTGCACGCATACACATAAAATAAAAATAAAATAAAATATAAAAAAGTGGGGGGACTGGAGACATGGCTCAGTGGTTAAGAACACTGTCTTCTTGCAGAAGACCCAAGTTTGAATCCCAGCACTCACATGGCAGCTAACAACTGTCTGTAACTCGTCCCAGGGGATCCAACAGCCTCTTCTGACCTCCACAGGCATTGCATGACATGGGTGCACTTACCTACATGCAGGCAAAATACGCATACACATAAAATAAAAATAATAAAAATTTAAAAAGTATTAAAAAAAGATCCACTGGAACCCACATCAATTCATGGGATTCCCAGTTCATGGTCCCATGTCCCTGAGCCAATCTTCACTCATTCAATGGTCAGTAACAAGATTATACTGAAGGTATGATCCTGAGACCCCAGGTGGGTGCTAGGGGCCCTTTCCAAGTGCTTGGGGGGGGGGTCACATGCATTCAAGGAATGGCCCTGCCTGGGAAAGGGGATGTGGACAGGCCATCAGCTGTATCTAGGTGGGAGTCATGCAGTAGGGTCTTGCAGGAAGGAGGCTCATGTCCTTTTTGCAGTATGGTCCACCTTGAGATGCCTTCTATTTGTATGGCCAGTGTGGCCCGACAGAAGAACACCTCATCTGTGAGGACTGAGAACTAGGCCATATCTAGTAGGTTTCCATAGGATCCAAGGAGAGGACTTCGGCAACCAGGCTCAGATTAGGAACTGCAGAGTAGACAAAGTGAAAGTGGTTTCTCAGATGTGTGACTTGCTGGGTTCTGTAATAGTCCAGCTGTTCACAGGGGAAAGGATGGGCAGCCTGCCTCCCACTTATGTGCACAGGGTCTTCCTCCCTGCAGATCAGTGTGTGGGGCTCTGGGCCAGCCCCTCACTGCATCCTGTTGGGGATTCCTGTGTGGCCTCTACACCCTGTTTGGCCCAGCTCCTTACACACCAGGTGGGGTGAGGGTCACTGGGAGTGGTGGGCCCAGCTCAAGCTCTTGAGCCAGGCCTGACACAGCTATTGGGGCCCTGCTTCCCAGAACAGCCTCTGGGGTTGGGAGAAGCCCAACGAGAGGACCTGCAGGATGCACATGTAGTAGTGCTGTTGTGTTTTGAGGGCTGAGCACAGAAGGAGGAAGTGAGCAGCCAGGGGCCTCCCCTTGACTTCTATAGCAGCGAGGGCTCTTGGTGGCCTGGCCCTTCATTTCCAGCTGGGAAGGCTCTGGGCCACCACAGCTCAGCATCTCTCTAGTGACTCAGCAGCAACCACAGGCCCCTGAACAGGGCCTCTTTTGGTGCAGGGCCGGGGGGCTGGGAGATGAGAACAGAGGTCTACAGGGCAGTCCGCAGAACCCCGACTTCTAGGCCCTCCCTTCCTCCCTCAACCCTAAGAAAGGTGACAAGAGTAGCTGGTCCAGGAAAAGATTATTTTATTTTCATAAATACTCCAGCTCTCACTCACACTGACCCCATCTCTGACCATGGGCAGATGGACAGCTGTGAGGTACTCACCGGAGGCCCCAGCAGGAGCTGACAAATGAAGCACAGAACTCTGGGAGTTCTGCCCTCTAGGATGGGCCACATCCTCTGGCTTTGCCCTCAGGTTCCCATAGCCGGGTAAGAGGCCTGACAGCAAAGTGAGGTCCCCAGGAGTGGAGCAGGTGGAGCTCCTCCAACTGTGACCACAGGGCCACTCCGAAAGAAAAGCAAAGAGCCAAACCACATACCAAGTGCAAACAGCCAGGGGCACAGGCGTCACCCCCAGTCACTGGGTTCCCACAGAGAAGGCCTGGGATAGTCCCAGCTCCAACATGGCCTCCAAGTTATGGCTGGGCCTTTCCATAAGGCATAAGAGACAGGTGGGAGACCCCACCCCAGGCTAGGGTCAGGGCTGGGCCCAATGGCCATGCTTCCTCCCTTACCCCAGAGTCCTTCCAGGGCATGTAGCCCTTCCCTGTTCCAGGCTCCCACTGGCGATGGGGGTCCCAGCAGCTAGTGCAAACCCAGGCCCAGCCTCCTGCTGGGTTTGGCTCAGCAGGGGAGGAGGCAGAGTGGGAGAGGGAAGAGTCACTCAGGGGCTACAGGGAGGAGAGAAGCACCAGGCTGAACAGGAACTGGTCCTGCTGCCCCCCTCCTCTCCCCAGCCCTCTGTCCTAGAGACTTCCCCAGGTTTCTGGAGGGGGGAACTGGTCCACATCTCCCATCTCATTGTAGGTCTGGTCGCCCATGGTGAAGATGAGCTTGTAGCGAAGGCGAACCTTCTCCTGGCCACAGATAGCAGAGGCAGAGAGGTCAAGGTGGGAAGGCCAGCCCCACCCTGGGGTACTGCCCCATCACAACTGGGCCCTTACCTTCTGGGGATTGGCAAGGAGCAGGACTTGGGTGATGGCTGATGGGTGGATGATAGGGTTGAATGCTGGCAGCTCTGTGCCTGAGGGAGGCTGGAGCTTTACCTTCATGACCTGAGGGCAGGAGGCCTGTCAGAGGAACCAGCTCCCCTCCCAGGGTGTCAGGGCTCTCCTCTGGCTTCCTGCCATCCCAGTTGGGGAGACCATGCTCCATAGTCCCCAAGCAGCCATCCCAGTGAGGGAGACCTTGCTCCATAGTCCCCAAGCAGCTGGTGGCCCACCAAGCCCTAGGTCACCCCACCTTGAGGGAGGAAGGCTGCATGGTCAGCCCTGCCTGTTACCTTAGGGACAGCTGACTGGAAAACAATGTTGCGGATGGGCTGGGGGGCTGTGCTCAGCATGGAGACCACCACTACCAGCACATCGGACCGGCCTGGTAGTGGGTCCCGAGCAAAGTGGAAGAGGACGCGGAAGCCATGCTGGTCATACACAGTCACGGGCAATATGCTGCCTATGGGAGAAGGGGAGGAAGGCGATGGGTAAGCAGAGGCACACCTACTTGTCCCTCATCTAGGACCTTGCCTCCAGGGCTCGCTCACTCAGGGCTGATGGTGAAGGCAGGATGTCTACCCTGGAGCAGAGTTAGAGCCAGGTTCCAGCCCAGGCTAGTCAAGGGTTGTGGTGGGAATCTGGGTTCCACTCCGTGCTCCTGAAGTCACACCTCTTTAGGGTGTGATGTTCTGGGTCACAGTGAGCTTTGGGAAGTGGCAATGCCACCTGGCCAGTTTGTCAGCTCAGGCCTAGTACCAATCAGTGGCTACTGACTGATGGGAGAGAGATGCTCCAGGCTTGGGCCTGGATCTTTGAAGTTCAGTTTCATAATCTTAGGAAACCTTCTAGTCCTGCCCCTGCTTTCCTTAGGAGGTCAGCATTCATCTTCTGTAAGTCTTCCTCAGCTTTGCATCACTTCAGGATGGAGATGCCCTTGTGTGGGGTTGCATTGGAGTTAGCCAGTGGCAAGGTCCTGGGGGCAGGAGCTGACCTGGTCCAGCCCTTCCCACCCCACTTCTCCACACTTACTGGGTTTGATGGACTCCAGGGGCACAGTGATGTTGGCTAAGGAGAGCTCAGTAGGCGTGGGCTGCTGTGGAGGCCCAAGGGGCTCTGGGGATGTGGTGTGGAGGAGGCTGATGGCCCCCAGGCTGGGTGAATTGCAGCTGTTCTTGTTCTGCAGGTCCCGGAGGGTGAGCCGTGGGGCGGGCTGCTGCTTCTCCCTAGGTGGGGATGGCCCATTAGCAAGTGATCCTCTGGTAGCCACATTAGGGGCCTTAGACAAGCTGGCCTACCGGCTGAGTGCCTGCAGGTCAGCATCTCTAGCCTTGGGCGTCCTCACCTTCAGTGAGAACACTTCCCTCTCTCTATCACTCCTTTTGCCACCAAGGCTCAGCACCCCCCACTGATGACCCTCCCTTTGGTCTTTCTCTAGGAGGCTATGAACTCCTGGGGAAATGTTAGTGGGCACAGTCCTACTTTCTCATCAGCTCCACATAGTATGAGACTATCCCTGAGCCCACCTACGTGTAGTGTTTGGTACATGTGGGGGCTCAACACCCAGGGCTCCCAGAAACAACCAATGACCAGAGTCATTGGCTAATGGGGACCGAGGGCCTTGATGGTGGCCTTACCACCGCACTTGCTGGGCCTCTGGGGGCAGCGCCTGCTGTAGGAGAGTCTTCCCCAGGAGGTCCAGGTCGTCCAGACCACTGCTTGCAGATGGAGGTCCCTGTGCTGGTAGTTGGCAGTCCGTGCTGGGGGCCTGGACTGGAGTAGGGGCTGAGGGTTCGGTGCCATCTGATGACTGTGGGCAAAGGAGGTAGGGAGGTGGGGCTCTGTAAAGTGACAGGGTCACTGGCTATGTCCTAACAACCTCCCCTCCCTGCAGGTTGACATCTGAGAGAGCTATAACAGAGGGGACCACAGACCACCTGACCATGAGGCAGGACATTGGGCCTGGCTGGGGCCCATACTCCAGGGACTCCAAGTCATCTTTAAGGAAGTAAAGAGCCCCCATCTCAACCTGAAGGTGGGACTGTGGTCCTGCTGAAGCCTGAGCACCACTCTTCCCTGAGGTGGGCCTGTCCTGTCAAGCCTATCTGGCCCTTCATCACCCCTAGGCTACTGGCACCAGCCTCCCTACCCCTAGGTCTGTCTTGGGCTGGGCCAGCTCCTCCCTGCTTACCTGGAAGTTATTCCACCCAGCACCATCTGAGCTGGAGCCTGAGGGGGTTGTGGGGTCACTTAGCCCTGTGGGGAAAGCAAAACAGCTGGACTGAGTGGGCAGAGGCAAGGAGGCTGAAGGGTAACAGTGTTGGTTTGGGGGCTCCCTGGATCCCCTTTTCTGAGCTTAGGGGTGAAACCCACACTTTCAGAAGGAACCAGTGGCAGAGCAGAAATAGAAACCAAAGTCCCAACAGCTATTCAGCAGCCCACACTTGCTTCCTCTGTTCCCGGCAAGGCCCCTCAGAAGCCAGCTCATCAGAAGAAGTTGGGACTTTTGCCTCTGTCCCTTGGCTGGCAGCTAAAATCAGGTGCTGATGTTGGAGACTAGTGGAGTGGATGGTGGGGAGATGGGGTGGTGGTGTCTGTGATCTCAGTTCAGGCAAGTGACTGTGTGGCAAGGTGCTGTGCCAGCACATATACAATGGTAAGTAAGGCAGATTGAAGGCTCTGGCATAGGTCAACAAGGCCAAGTATCTGGTGCCAAGGAGCCTCAGGGCCCTCTGGATAGTCCTGGGGACCAGCCTATTGGATGGAAGAAGCAGGTCACCAGCCAGCCAGACACCCCAGCCAAGCTCACCTCGAATTTGACTTAGAAAAGATGAGTGATGCTATTTCTAGCACATGCTCTTTGGGAGGGCAATGAAGGGCTCTGGGAACCTGCAACTGGTAGGTTTCCTCCAGGGCATTCCTTTAAGCCCAGCGGTAACACTGGTCTTTGCTAACATTTATGTCCCTGAGGTGCTGAGCTCACCAGAAGCAGATCTTACTCAATACTCAACTTTTAGACAGAGATAATGAGGTTTTTAGCTGTCTTTTTTTTTTAAATTTTTAAATTTTTTTTTAAGTTTGTTTCTGAGGCATGGTCTCCCTGTAGCCCCACCTGGCCTGGAATTCACTATGCAGACCAGGCTGGCTTTAAAGTCATATAGATTTGCCTGCCTCTGCCTCCCAAATGCTAGGATTAAAGGCCTGTGCCACCATGCCCAGTGTTAGCAGTCTATTAAAGGGATGAGTAAACAGATGCTCAGGTCACAAAGCTAGAAAGTGACAGAGTAGAGATGGGAGCCTGGACATTCTCCACCAGAGATGTGAGCCCCTGCATGGAGACCTGCCTCCTTGAACTTCACCATTAACAGAACACCACAGCAGCAACCACCCCAGAAGACACATCCCACCGAACATCTCAACAGTAGCAGACCCATTCTGGGATGGGACCCTGCCCATCACCATCTGTCTGTTGCAGGACCAGTTACTTCTGGTTCCTGTTCCTATATTCTTTGCCTTTGAGAAGAAATTAGAAGGAAGCTGGAGGCTCAGGGGCTCTGTGGACACAACTGGGGGCAGGAAGTACACAGCACACCTCAAGTCTCATGCAGAGGTGGAGGTGGCTCTGCCACAACCACATGCTGGGGGGCTGGAGATCTGTCTTCCATTACTTCCCTATCTGCCATTGTCTAGATGGGGTTCTTGCCATTGGACACCCCCTACCTCTCTCAAAGGGCTCAGAATGTCTCTGTCACTGCTGGTTAAGAATGGAGCTGGGGGGCTGGAGAGATGGCTTAGTGGTTAAGAGCACTGGCTACTCTTGCGCAGGACCCAGGTTCGATTCCCAGCACCTACATGGCAGTTAACAACTGTCCATAAACTCCAATTCCAGGGGATCCAACACCCTCTTTTGACCTGTGGGCATTGCACAACACGGTACACTTACCTACATGTAGGCAATACACTCATACACATAAGAAATACTTTTTAAAAAACAATGGAGTTGGGCAATGGGTGGGGCTCATGTGCCAGCCTCCTGGGTTCAGGCCGGCTCACTTCTCCCTCCTTACTTCAAGTCCCCATTTTCCTTTTCTCCTAATGGACAGTGGGTCAGGGCAAAGTGTGGCTTCAGAATCGCACCACCTACTTCAGACCCTGATTCTATTTCCTCCTCTGCAATGGAGACATTAATAGCCCTGACCTCACAGGGTGGCTTGGGAAGACTGTCTTGGGACCTAAGTGCAGCAGTGATACTGTGAAGGAGGATGCTGGGTAGATTGGGCTAGGAGCCCAAAACACCTATCATTCTCTTCTTGCGTGTGGTGCTGAATAGAACCCTAAGCACAAGGCCATACCCTGCTCTGCCACAACCCCTGGTCCTGGGTTGTTTTCATTTCCAGATTAGCTGAGAACTTAGGGTGACTGCCCACTTCCACCCTGTGGCTTTCCCATACAGCCTTCAGATTCCTTTGCTAGGCCTGGTACCTGTTTTTCCTGCCTCCAGTGCTGTTCTGAGGAAGCAGTTCCTCTGCCCCTCTGTTCCACAGGGCTCATGGGCTGCTGCTGGGGGCTGGAATGTAGCTCTGTGGTCTAGTGCAGAGGCTGCCTGCTGGAGGTTCTGGGTTTCATCACCCCGGCCACATAGACATCAAATGAGCCTGGACCTACTTGGCTTCTCCCTAGGACTGAGCCTGGTCCCCTCTGCACACTTGAACCACAAGACTGCCCTGGGGTCACGGAATGCCTTCAGCTCTGGCCTCAGCTTCTTTTGAGCTTCTGGGACCTGCCTAGAGCCCAGAGGTCGCTGTTCCTTCCTCTTGGGGGAGAACCTGCTGAGCTTCTACCTGGACAGCTCCAGTCTGGACTCTTAACTCAGTGTAGGAAGTCCTTCAGGCAGCCAGAGCTGGCCAGCCTCACCCTCTGAGGGGGATGGACTGACTGTGCTCCTGAATGTCCTCATCCCAGTGGGATGCAGAATGCTGGTACCCACAGGCTGCCCCTGAGCCACCCTCTTCCTCACCTAGAGACATAAGCTCGTCATCAAGCAGGGACACTGAGGCACTGGGCTGCTCAGGGCTGGCCTGGTTGCCAGGGCGGGTGGGTATGGCTGGGTATGTGGTGCCTGAAGGAGGAAGGTCCAGGCCTGAGAGGTCCAGTAGAGCTGAGGTGCTCCCTGCATGAGAAAGGAGAGTCATGCAAGTCATGCAAGTCCTGGTGGCCACTCACCCATGGTGGGGACAGCAACCCTCAGCCTCCCACTCTGCATACCCAGCCTCATGCTGCCCCCTTGTGGGTACAGCAGCCCTACTGGAACTGCCTACAAACTATCAAGTGGCACTTGTGTTTAGAATACAGTCACACTTTGCTTAATGACAGGGACACACCAGAAAGGTGACATTAGTGTGAACACTGATGTGGCCAGTGAGGACCTGGACAACCAAGACAGCTATGGTGTCACTAGGTGACACAGCCTTAAGGGAGTACTGTTGCTGAAATGTCATTACGAAGGACACGGCTGTCTTTTCTATCTTTGCTTGGCAGCCGCCCTCATTCCTAAGGGCCCTGCCCATGCTCTGCTGCCTCTGCACAGGCTTCCCCACCCTCCAATGGCCACATTTAACTTCTCCTGTAACCCCCCACCCCAGTGCTGCCATTTTACCCTACTGGAGCAGTCTGCAATGTTTACATGTCTAAACATCCCTTCTCCTTTCTAGGAACCCAGTCAGGCCTTGGGATGTCTTCCAGCCTTACATAGCAAGTGCCAGACTCTTGGAAAGCCTTACTTCTGCCTGTCCTTGCAAACCTGGGCTCCCTCCTGTGTCTCAGGTTTTCTCCCCCTACAGCTGCAGGCTTGGCACAGAATGCACCCCAGCTCCCTCCCTGCACTCTGGAACTCCCACAGTGCTCCTGCTCCCTCCTTACCAGGGATGGAGCCAGCTGTGGTATCGCCATTGACCTCCTCGCCCCATACCAGCTGCTTGTACAGGTTGATCACCTGGGTAAGGTTGTCATTGGCCTGCAGGATCTCCGCTGGAACAGGCAGGAGAGGAGAGGCCAGGCTGAAGGAGTAGGCCTCTGGGTGGAGAGAGGAGCACCTCCATACCCACTTTAAATTGTGTATGAGGGGTGAGGGCTGGGCATCCTATTGCAACTACTGTGTCCAGAAGGCAGAGCTGGTATGGAGGTCTAGAGGTGGGAATGCACCCAGGTTGTCCAGGGGACAGCCATACAGGGAGCAGAGTGAGATGGAGATGGCAGGGGGCAGAAAACGGGTGCAGTGGGATGACCTGCTATGGTGGTGCTTGTCATCTGAGCTAATCACTTTGCTCACTGAACCCCGGCTGGGAAAGGGGGTGTTCGCCCTCCTGGGCAGTGAGATGACTGTGAAGGGCTGTAGCCTCTGTTCCCTTCTTAGGCCAAGTGCAGAAACTTAAGATCAGTGCTGGAGAAAGGGGCCCCTGGTGGTGACTCCTTCTAACTGCAGGCTCTAGCAGGGCCTTGGGGAGGTGGGAGGAGGTGGAGGAAAAAGGCTGGACCTGACCTCAGGAGGTGCCTGGGGCTCACCTAAGGCCTCATCATTGTCTTCTGTGTCACTGGCCAATCGGAAGAGAGTGGGCCGCATCCGCTCACAGCGCTGGTACAGTTCCTGGGGGAAGCAAGTGTGAGGTCAGGGTTGTCAGGGGGCTCGGGAGGGGGCTAGGAGCAGGAAGGAGCAGGTGCACCTTCATGAGGTACTCGCTGCTGCTGGATGCAGCGCCCTGGCTGTGGTTCATCACCATCTCCGTCAGCAGCTTCACGTTGTTGTTGACCTCCTCGATGGCATTCACTCGCTTTGAGATCTTCTCCATCCGCTTTTGGTCCTGTAGAGCAGTAAATGGCCCGAGGCTGCCTCAGGCCTGCCATCGGCTCTAAAGATGGCACTGGGGTCTGGAGGGAGGGCTGGATGGGTGTGATGTTAGTTGTGTGTGACCATGCCCTGCTAGAAGCTTGCCACCCAGCACAAGTACTCTGTCCAACCTTGTGTCACTTTCTACTGTTAACAGTGTCCCCAGCCCAGGACTCTGCAGGGGCTCATGAGTCTCCAGGGATAGGCTGGAATCACATCAGGAGTTTCTCACCCTATACCTCTGGTTCTGAGGCATTTCTATCCTCCCTGTGTCTGTCCCCTGAAGGGATTCCCACACTCAACAGTGAAAGGGGACTGTTATGGTCAGCATGCCCAACCTAGAAATGAGTGTGGTATCCTCCTTGTGTCTATGAGGGCCCAGCAAGTGTGGGAGGCCTTTAAAAGCACATAGAGGAAGTAAGCCCACCCTTCCCGGCCCACTCTGCTTACTGGTACTCCTCCCCTGCAGAAGGAAAGGTAGACATGTGCTGGGCCATCTCACACAGCTTAGCCCTTTAAGACAACCCTGAACTTCAGGACTGTGGTACAGCAAGGGAACCAAGAGGAGCCCCAGGCAGTCAATCAAGGACCCAAGCTTAGCCTGGCCAACTTCCCATGACTAGACCTGCCTCCTGGGGAGAATGAACTGGCAGCTTCCGGAGGACACCCACTTTGAAAACAGCTGAAAAAATTCCTTGCTACTGCCATTAGTGAGCTAGGGCATTTCAAACAGAAGTCCAGATTTCTGGACCGATTTCAATTTCAGAAACTGTCATCTGATGCTCTGGATACATGGGATGCAGGTGGGTGGTCACCTTCCTGCCTCAGAGGTGCCTGCCTTGAAGACTTAGGTCTGTTTATTTCCCTGTTGTTAATCCCCAGCCTGGGTAGCAAGTGGAACATCTGTCCTCTTTTCATCTACCTTATTAATTACTATGAGATATTTTATGTTTGTTTTGTGCAAGGTTTCTGTCTATAGCTCAGGCTGGCCTTCAACTCAGGGCAATCCTCCTGCCTTAGCCTCCCCAGTTTGGGGATTATCTACATGTAAGCCACCTCATCCAGCATGATTAACTTTTTGATCACTTAGCCTTCTAAGTTCCAGTGATACTTCCAACTAACATATATTAAATATATACTAGTATCTGTGTTTTCTTTTTTTTTTTTTTTGGTCTTTTTGAGACAGGGTCTCCCTGTAGCCCCAGCTGTCCTGGAACTCGCTATGTAGACCAGGCTGGCCTTGAACTCACAGAGATCTGCTTGCCTTTGCCTCCTGAGTGCTGGGATTAAAGGTGTGCGCCACCACGCCCAGCTAGTATCTGCGTTTTTTTTTTTGTGTGTATAAGTATGTATGTGTGTAAACACATACGTATTTAAAAAAATAATTTAAGGCCCAATTCTTTTTTTTGTGGGGGATGCTGAGGAGAGACCCCAAGGACTTCATGCATGTCAGGAAAGTGATCTGCCACTAAAATACAGTCCCAAGCTCCAATATACTCCCACCTTTAGAAAAATATTTTATTTATTATTTGTATGTGTATGAGTGTATTGCCTGCATATATGTAAGTACAGCTGTGTCATGCAATGCCCAAGAAGGTCAGAAGAGGGAGTTGGATCCTTCCTTAGAACTGGAGTTATGAATGGTTAGTCCTCATGTGGGTGCGGGGAATCAAACCCGAGTCCTCTGTAGAGCAGCCAATGTTCTTAACTGCCATGGCATGTGTATGTGGAGGTGAGGACTTGTGGGAGTCAGTTCTTTCCTGAAGACTGAACTCAGCTTGTCAGGGTTGATAGCAGGTACCTTAATCTGCTGAGCTATCTCTCACTGGTCCCAACTTTTTTGAGACAGGATCTTACTATGTAGCCATAGCTGTCGTGGAGCTCCCTAGGCAGACCACGGTAGGCTTGCCTGCCTCTGCCTCCTGGAGTGCTGGGATTAAAGGCATGCACTACATACCCAGCCAACTTTTTTGAGTCAGGGTCTTGCTGTATGGCTCAAGTTGGCCTCAAACTCATAATCCTCCTGCCTAAGCCTCTGGAATTCTGGAATTATAGGTGCATGTGACCAATGCTAGGCCTCAATACTGACAGACACAAGCCCTGCAAAAGTCCATGCACAGCAGGTTTACTCAGGCTTCTGGGAAATTCTTCCCCTTAACACATGGTTCACTAGCACCTGTCAGGCTTTGTTGTGGCTGCCATTCAGCTGGGTCACTGTGGAGCATTGTCTGTGCACACACACAGCCTCAACTTTGTGACCTAGCTCCACATCCGATCCCACCTCCCCCCTGTACACGGGGCCAGTTATCACCTCCTGCACCATCTCTTTGATGAGCTTGTTGGCTGCCCGGAGGTCTTCAGGGTGGGAGCTCTTCAGTAAGCGGGCCAGCATCTGTGAAGACAGGTGAGTGACTCTGGGGTAGCACTGGGTGGGGGGATGGAGAGGGAGCTGCAATCCAACTTCCTAGTCCCTGGTCATGCGCCCAGGACGAGACCCTAAAGCTATGAAATGGTGAGAACTGACTGACACTTGAACAAGTGAGACACTCCTCACACTCCCCACAGAGCATGACAGAAAGATGTCCTGAGAACACAGTTCTCCTTAGATAACTTTGGCTCTCAGAGCCTCACAGAGCATGTGCCAGGAACATGGCAGTGGGAGCCCTTAGGGGCTGGCTGTGGAGAGGGGTTTCATGTCTACATGTGTGCTGCACTCTCATCTCAACAGTCCTTCTCCACCAGGGTGTGTTTCTTACCCACATGTGAATACTTCTCTGTCTACAAAGCTAATGAACTAGTATGGAAAGCAAGGAAGCTATGCAGACTTCTCAAGACGACCCTGGGATGGTGAACTGCATTTACTAAAGGCAATACTGCGTGAGTCAGTGTATTCAGCAGTTAGTGCTGCTTAGCTCCAGCGCTGTCCCCTCCATAGGGACCACGTTCAGCACCACCTTCTTTAGCCACAGAGTGGGCCGAGTCCCCAATGCTTCTCCCTGCAGCTTTACCTTAGACTTCTCTTCATCTTCAAAGATCATGTTCTTGGGCCGTGGAGGGGGGAGAGAAAAGATGGCATCCTCTGGAAGCTTGGGGTCAGACTTCACAATCCCTGAGGAGACAGAGTTAGGAAGGCTGTCAGGTCTCAGACCCAGGAGTGAAAGGGTGGGCATATAGGGATGATGCAACAAGGTGAGGGGGAGGTCAGTCTTTCATCAGCTCACCAGTTTTGGACTTGGATGGGCAGGGCTACTCCTGACCTGCCTGTTGAATTCTACTGGGGAAGGTCTAAGCCCCATATATTTTTTTGAGACAAGGTCTCATATATCCTAGGCTGGCCTTGAAATCACTATGTAGTTAACAGTTACCTTCAATTTTTGATCCTCCTGCTTCTACTTCCCAAGTGCTGGGATTATAGAGGTGCTCCACCACACCTGGAGTACAAAGTACCGCCAAGTCCTTTGAGTTTTAAGCTGTGGCTAGTAGTTCTCTGGCGAATAATTAATCGAATTTGAAGCTTATGATTAATTTTATTGAGTTGATTGTCATTCAATGTCAGTTACGGTTCTGGGGACGGAACCCAGAGGTCCCTGCATGCTAAGTAAGCATTCTACCAACTGAGCCACATCTCCAATTCTCGGGCACCTCTATTTTGAGGTTACTCTGAGGGGAAGTTTGAACCCATATCACCTTTTCTTCACCCAAGCTGACCCTAGGCAGTTACAGACAGGTCCCACTGGCTGTTCTCGAGGTTAAAGGCAGACCTGTGAGCTTGCTGACCCAGAAGCCCCTGAAACTGCTGGAGCCCGAGCTGGGGACAGAACATGCTGCAGGTCCCCACCCCCCCTGCGGTGAGGCTCACCCTGCTTCTTTAGCATCTGGTAGGCCTCTGCGATCTTCACCTCCTCAGGCAGGCCCACCGTCCAGCTGTAAAGGAGCTCCAAGATCTTGTTCTTTACTTTCTCTGATGTCCGGGAGCCCAGATACTTCAGGAGCACACAGGAGGGGACCCTTGGATATTGCCCAGACCTACTCACTGAAGCCCCAAGCCTAGACCCATTCCAGATGCCTTCTGGGGACTCCCTTGGAAGCCCTGTTGCCTCCAGGATCCTCTTGTCCCCTGTAGCCAGCCCAATGTGATCTAAGCTCAGTTTCTAACTTGGTTACCCACTGGCTATGTCAGCTGTCTGTGACTCAGTTTGCTCACTGTGCTGAGCATACAGAGCTGGGAGAGGGCGGGGATCTAGAACATAGCACCTGCTCACAGTCAGCTCACACAACTTAACCTTGAGACCTCAGCAAGGAGCCCAAGGTTCCAGGTGGAGGAGGGAAGACGCAAGTGTGCAGCCATGAGGTCCCACATGCGATCTCTAGCAGCTAAGAGACATGGCTCTTACTGCAGGGTCCTCTCTTGGGAGAAGCAGAGCTGGATGGCTCAGTCAGACTCTAGTCAGAGGAAGGGCGAGAGGGCTAGGACCTTGTCCCAGAGGCATCAAACATGTCCCTGGCCTGCAAGACTCCTCAGGCCAAAGTCCCACAGCTAGGTCAGCATCTGCTAAGAGACTCAGGTTTGTGGATTTGGATGCCAAGGCCCAAGCCCGAGGAAACCACATCTAGATGGTGGGTTTAAGGAGAACTGCCAGGCACCAAACCAGCCTGGGCTGGGTGCATTGAGCACCAGTAGGTGTGTACCCTGGGATCAGCTCTCCCCAAATACTGAGCGACTCCTTGGCAGCTCACCCCCTCAGCCTAGGCTGTCCTGACTCAGCCCGAAAAAGCCCCAGAGAAGGATTTGTATCTGTGCTCAGTCCCTAGGGTTTTCTTTTCTTTTTCGTTTTATTTAACAGGGTTTCCCTAGTCACAGCCTGCCTGGAAGTCATGACGTGAACCAGGGTGGCCTTGATTTGGCAGAGATCCACTTTCCTCTATCTCCCGAGGGCTGGAATTAAAGGTGAACACCACCATGCCTGGCATGGGTTACCCACTACAGACCCAGTATTCTGAATGGTGTGCTAGGGCCCACCTTGGGAGACACGACTTTGATGAGCTCGTTCAGGAAGCGGAACTTGCCCACCTCATCGTGGAACCTCTTGCCACAGGTCTTCATGCATGTTTCCAGAACCTGGGAGGGAAGCAACAGTGAAGAACCCTGGGAGGCTTCAAGGAGGTCCCCAACCTCGCCAGGACCTAGAGGAAGGGAATACTGAAAGGCACGTGATGCTGGGGCTCAAAGGCCTCTGAATTGCTCATCGCCTCCCTACTGGTCAGGGTCAGGGGGCTTCGAGTGACCAGCACTGCCCAACCTACAGCATAGCCACAGGCTCCTTCATGGCTTGGGCTATACCAGAGAATCACGTGTACATGACTTTCTCACTATTTTTCTTTTTCTTTCTTTTTTCTTTTCTTTTTTGAGATATGGTTTCCTTGTAGTCCCAGCTGTCCTGACTTAGCTATGTAGACCAGGCTGGCCTCGATCTTACAGAGATCAGGCTGCCTCTGCCTCCTGAGTGTTGGGATTAAACTATTTTTCTCATTATGTTTCTTGTTTTTGAAAACAACTTGACTACTTTGGCCTTTCCTAAACCTGTGAAATCACAAGGTTCCTGTATACTCAGGGAAAAAGGTATGCAGGCTCTGCTGGGGTCACAGACAGTGTGTCCTCCCCTGCTGCTCCTGGAACAGCCACAAAACCCCAGGCCTGAACCTCCCTCTCACCCCAGAGGACAGTGTAACCTGGGGTCTGCAAATCTTGTGTGGGCTGAGTGGCCCCTGCAGGACACTTGGGAGCTTTAGAGAGACACGAATGCTAATAAGGAGCCCTGACTCGCTGCTGAACACGCCTCCTGCGGAAGTGACCACTATGTAGCTGGAGTGGAGAATCCCTGGACCTCCCCTCCCCAAAAGGCCTAGCTATGGCAGGAGGCTAGCCCACTGGCTGCTATGGGAACCTCAGAGACTGGCTCAGACCTCTATCCTGGGCCACTGGGCATAATTCCTTTGGACTCATGGAATCCCAGGCAGTCTTCTCACCGTCAGGGCCTGGATGGCCTCCCACTCCTGTGGGGACTGGATCTTGTGGGCCAGCAAGCGGGTGGCAAGTGGAGGTCTGAGTAGGAGGAACACAGAGTCAGGAGTACTACTAGTCATACAGAGGGAAGGTCACTATACTAGCCTGTGGGACTTTAGCCCTCTGCGAGTTCTGTGAGGTACATACAAAGGCCCAGCTTTCTCTCCAGATCCAACAGGGCCTGAGATGGTAGCAACCAGGGCCAGGTAGTTGGCATAGGCAGGGACCTTCAAGGTACAAGCTCAGATTTCTTTAGGGGGTATTGCTTTTTGATAGAGGATGTGTCTGGGTAAGGCCCTGGGTTCAATTTCATCACCACCAAAAGCAAAAAGCAAACCCAACAAGAAAACCTAAATGCCGTGTCTCTGGCATACATTCGGAATGGTACCAACAGGTAACCACAGTCTTCATGGAGCAGAGTTCCCTGGGAACTCACAGTGGCGAAGGATATTCTATTGGAGACGTCAGAGCAGGTACACGGTGGAGCTGGTAACACTGTCAGAGCAGAAGCCTTGTCCCACCAGTGAGTGCTGAGGCCATGTAAGTAGCTCGCAAGCTCCTTCCTTCCTTGCCTTCCTAAGTGGCAGGGGAGTTCTCATAACCCCACGTGGCAGCATCGCCAGTCCCAGGTTACAGCTGAGGACAGTGAGTTTTGGAGCCAGCAATGACTTATCTAAGGCTAATCAGCTTGGCTCCAAACCATATGAATCCTACCCCAAGGGCTGCCAGAAAAGAATGCCTGGCAATGTGGATGGAAGTGAAGAACGTGGTGGTGAGGTCCTTACCATCCAGCAGCATACAAGGAGGCTTAGCATGTCCATTCCCAACCCCAGCCAGTCAAATTTGGAGGGAGGCCCACGTGTGCATTTTGGACAAGTATTCCAGGTGGTTCTAATTCTTCCTTGCACAAAGGGCCTGCTGAGGGTGTAGGTCACCCTTTGGGAGGACCCAAACAGACCATTAGATGAAAGGAGGGATAGAGTTGACTAAGCTCAGGACTGCCAGTGCCCTGGTGAGATCCTGAGGCAAACAGCCATGTTTCCTGAGCTACTGCTACCTGTAAGATGGGTCCAGGAAGGCCTCCTCAGAAGGTGGCATACATGTGGCCCCTAGCACAAAGGTCCACTAGCTCCATTAATTATGACTGCATTTAGAATGAAAACTGGAGCTTTAGCTAGCCAAGTGTCTCTGCCCAGGGCCAGGCTCTAGAATTTGCACAGCAGGGGCATGCTGTGCACTGCTGAGTTTGTCAGTCAAATGGGGGACACCTACCCCTCAAAGTCTTCGTTGAGCTGCTCACAGAAGCCGTTGATGCTGGCCCAATTCAGCTCTTTGTTCAGGGGGTTTGTGGCTCTGTCTGCAGGAGGAGAGGGTGTCAGTATGGGCCAGTGGGATTCCTGCTGCCCTAATTCTAGTCCACAACTAGCATGATCAGGATGGATTCAGCACGTGGAAGAGGCTTCCCTTTGCTTCCTGTTGGATAGCTCCAAGCCTGAGCATTGACACTGCAGTGGAGTCAGCGGGCAGAACATATGGCTGCAGCTTCCCTTGGCTTCCCACTCAAGGGCTCCACCTTCGTAGACTGCATCCAGGGCCAGCCCCCACAGACACAGCCCACCATGCTGACTTCACCACCTCTGATTCTGCTCTAGAGAACAGTGTCCCTCTTATTTTCTTAGAATCTGTGCTCAGGAGATTCAGGAGCAAGGAAAAAGCCAGGGTCTTGTCCTCAAGGAGCAGTAGGGCTGGGCAGTGGGCCAAGGGAAACCAGGCTCTCAAGGAAAAGTCAGAGGCCAAGGAACTACTGGGGCCCAGAGTCTGGGGTCAGCCTGGGGACAGGGCAACTGCCTAGAAAAGCAACATTCCAACAGAGCCTGGAAGGAGTTAATTAGGCTGAGGAGGGCTCATTTGCCAGGTGAAGGACAGAGACACGGATAGCCAAGCACCACCGGCCTGGGAAAGTAGTGTGCCCTATGACAACAGGCCTGGTTCTGCCTGCCCTCATCCCTGGGGGGTGGCTCAGGTCTACTCTCCCCAGTGATCTTCCCCAGGCCTCCTCTCCTGCCCAGGGTGGCAGTGGTAGTACTAGGTCACATCTCTGTGTCCTTTACTGTGGACGCAAGTGGGCTACTGCACACTGCTACAGTGTACCCTGCCACTGTGGACACAGCCACCTGTCCTCAGTGAATGAGTGAATGAATGAATGGATGAGGGATCAGAGGCAGGCAGACTGGGTGAACCCGGGGAAGTCAGAGTGCAGGAATGAGGAGAGGCTAAGAGGGGAATGGTAAACAAGACCAGGCAGTCTCCCTCCTGGCCCTTGACATTGGCTAAACCAAGATCTGATGGGTGACATAACTTCCCTGAACCTCTACTTCCCCACTTGTAAAGCCAGAGCAAAACATAGGCTAGATGACAAAATGCTTTGTGCATGGTAAGTCTGAGGCAGGCCTCACCTGTCCCCAGCCATTTCTGCTCAGGCTGAGTACCACACGGGGTGTGAAGGGACATAAACCAGGAGGTGAGGCAGTGAGAGCTCTGTGGCCAGGAGGGGGCTGGGGACCAGCATGTGCCATCTGTCCAGTTGGGTTCTATGCTGTGCCAGGAGGCCTAGAACACCCCTAATGCCTGATAGCCATTCATCTGATCCATATTTATTCAAGATATACAGTGGTGGACAAAAGCCCTGTTCTCCTGAAGTGAGCTCAGGGCCAGACAGACCACGCAGATGAACAATCTCAATACGTAATGGGGAAGAGGACAGATGATGGTGGGCTGCTAGTTCAGGGTGCAGAGGCGATGCACCTAGGCAGAGCTGAAGAAGCACTTTCTTTTGGCACCAATCTATTCCAGGAGCTCTGTGGGAACCTCCAGTCCCAAAGAGGAACAGAAGCCCCTGCTGAGTCCCTGGGGATAAAAGGAACATGCCCTGTCTCCTTGGGGGAAGGCTGCCCATCTACCATCTTCCAGTTTCCCCATTATGGCCTAAGTCTGGACACTGGACCTACAGACCCCAGTCTGGAACAGAGAGAATGTACAGGGGTGCTGGCACCTCAAATGACAGCGTGGGGAAGGGCTAAAACAGGAAGTTCCTCAAAGCGTCACAGGCATGTGACCCCAGTGAGGGTGGAGATGCTGAATGCAGAGTTAGGAGCCAGTGAAGAGGAAGCTCTGGCCTCACAAGATCAGTTTCTCCCCAGCATCCAGCTTAGAGAATCTTCAAGTTCAAGGACATGAACCAACCTCCCCTGCCCCCAGCCCTCCCAACTCTACCTAGGGGAGCAGAGGACAATACTCAAGGAGAGAGTGAGGTGTTTCACAAACGGGTGTGTCTCTACGACGGTGACAATGTCATCTTTCCTCCCCAGAAGCCACCCTTGCCTCTGACCTCCTGAGACCTGGCCACTTGTGAGAAGTGGAGCTATCAATGGCCTCGACTCCTTCTACCACCCACCTCTTTTGACTCTCTACACTCCTGGGGATAGTGTAGTTTGGAACTCTGGGTTGTTGAATTGGGCTGAGCTTTGTTCAAGACTGGTTTAAGATTTGGGTCATGACCCCCAAACCACCCTGCACAGATTCTTGGAGTACCCACAAATAAGAGGCTGAGCTGGGGTAGACCCAGAGGCTTCCCTGGGAACCTGGTTCAGACATGCCCCATCCAGAAAAACCTTGGGAGACTAGCACTAGATGGACCAGAAGAAGCAACCTGCAGCTTCCAAGGACAGAGTCCAGGAATGAGGTGGGAAAAGCCCCAAATCCTCATCAGTGTGGGACAAGGAGAGCAGGAGGAGGGGCCAGGGGCTCAGAAGCCTGAGTAGGAAGCTGCTTCTGAGGAGGGACAGGAAAGGAAGGCCCTGCAGAGGAAGCTCAGCCAGAGCTGGGAAAGGAATCTAGGATGCAGGTGCAGAGTAAGACTGACATGGGTAGTGAGAGCGAACTTGGATTTACTTTATGGGACCCTTCCAAGCCTAGGCCTTGGGGGTTCTCACAGAACCGCCAGATCCTGGAAGCAGCGGGGGTACCTGATGGGCCAGGAGTCCGCCCCTTTCTGGACCCGGGAATGAGCAAGTGTGAATAGCTGTTGGTACAAGGAAACACCGGGTGGACACCAGAGTGAAAGACTGAAGCCGGGGTCAAAGTGGGTCCTTTTCCCGGGATCCGAGATGCAGCCCTAGAGGCGGCTAGCTGGCTCCGGCCCCAGGCCAAGGGGAAAGCTCGAGGGGCTGTTTTTTTGGGCAGCAGTCTGGACCTGAGGGAGTTCGGGGCTGTTCTCTGCGTCCCGGGGGTTCCGGGCACCGCTCATCCTCAGCCTGAGGTCGCGGCGGTCCGGAGATCGGAAGGGGGGGGGTGGCGCCCCTCCCCGCACCGGGCCGCGCAGCCGCCGGGGTCCGAGCGGCCGACTGGGACACCACCGCCCCTCCCGGGTCGGGGGCGGGGCGTGAGGAAGGGGCGCGCGGACCCCGCCCCCGCCGGGAAGGGGGCCAGCCTTGCGCCCCCGGTTCCGGTTCCGGTCCGGCCCGCGCCCCTCCCGGACACTCACTGATTCGCGCCTCCAGAGTCTCCGGCTCCATCGCGGGCTCCATCGGCCACGGGCCCCCGCCTCGGCACCGCCCCCCGGCCCCCGCCGCTCTCGCGGGAACTCCTTGGTCCCGCCCTCCGCCGGTTAAAGGGGCCGCATCAGCCCGGATGAACCGGAACGGCGCGCAGGGATGCGGGGCACCATCGAGACGCGGGCGTACTCGCCCAGAGCGTCACCTTATCGCCAACCCCTCCCTCTGGCGGCGGAGACGTCGCGGGTGGGACCCACAGGCGGCCTCGCAGCTCCCGGCGCTCAGGCGGGAGAGGAAGCGGAGAGCCTGGGGATTGCGGGTGGCACCATGGAAACACCGCTGGACGCCCTAAGTCGGTCAGCGTCACGCAGATGCCCGTGACCACTTCCGGAACAACGCTCGGGGCCTTGTTCTTGAGGGGCTCTGAAGTCACTTCCGGAGCCCTACCCCAGGCTGGGGGGTGGGATGGGGTGTATGTACTTCCGCTTACATGGGAAAGTGGGATTGTCCCTTAAAAGGGCGATGGGGCACCGAAACCGCAGTGAGAACGACGCGGCTAAGTTAACGTTTGTTTAGCGCTTGGTGTTGCAGGCATGCTTTTGAGCCGTCTTCTGCATTTACAAACCCGGGAGCCGGGTTTTCAGTTTGAGGTTATGCAAGCGTCGGAGCCAGCCTGCAAACGCTTAAAGAACTCGTTGCGCTTGTCTTACTCTATGATCAGCCCTCGAGAAGAAAGACAAGGCCAGAGATGTTTATCCCACAGGGTGATGAGGGGCTGGGCGTGTGTGTGCACGCCAGTAATGTCAGCAGTTGTGAGGCACAGGCCGGAGAATCGGGTTCAAAGTCTGCCTGGGACACACACACACACACACACACACACACACACACACACGCGCGCGCGCGCGTGCCGGGTGAATAGGGAAGCCTGCGCGGTACTGATAACACGGGAGGGACCCCCTTTCCCGAAACTGGGATTGTGGCGCTAGACAAAGGGACGTTCTTGTCCAGGTAGAACCTGATGTGAAGGGTTTCTCCAGGTAGAGCTGGTGTGGAAAGGTAGTCAAGAAGAGTAAGGTGAGTTCAGGGGATGACCATCTCAGCAGCGCTCTAGGGGCGTGGTCAGGGTGGCTGGTCCTAAGTTTAGCTGTTTTTTTTTGTTTTGTTTTGTTTTTTTTCTTCTGTAAGTTGTGTCATTAAAGAATGTTATGGCCCCAGGTGGAAGAACTTGCACTGAGGGACATCTCAGGACACTAACTTTACATAATAGGCCTTAACACAAATGACAAAATGTATGAACTCCAGTGTGGGGGGGCTATGGAAGGGGGAAAGGGTAAAGGAGTATAAAGATGATTTTATGTATGAAATACACAAAAATTCAGTTTTAAAAAAAGAACCTTATGGCAACGCCAGAGGGGCCTCTTCCTTCTCCATGATGGGGTGACAAAGTCAGTCTTTTTTGTTTGGGGAGGTCCTGACGGCACCAAGACGAAGTTATTCACCTCTGACCCTTTTCCACCCACCCTGGGCGTGTCACTCCCAGAGGAGCTGGTCAGTTGCTCTCCGTCGCCCCTGGCGGAAAACTGGGGAACTGGCCCAGGTGCCCTCTCCAGCGGACCTGTGCCCGAAGAGTTAAAGAGCAACTGAGACCAAGGAACCGGTGAATCCAGTTCCTCGCCCTGCTGTGGCCTTGGCTTGTGATCTAGATTCACCTTGTGGGGACTTGCAGTGACCTCATCCGAGTCAGTTTTCCTCCTGAACTCAGTCGTTCATTTAAATGGGACTCTCCGGCAGCCCACATGATATAGGAAAGGGATATGAGTGTTTATTGCGGCCCTCAACAAAAGCATAACAATATTGGGTCTTTGAGCTCCTTTTGTTTTTATTGTTAAAATGAATTATTGAAATAAAAAATCCAAACCACATTTACCTATGGATATAGAGTCAGATCCGCACTCAGAGGAGCTTTTTATTATTATTTTTTATTTGAGATAGGGCTGGTGTTGAACTAGTATGTTATGACCTTTGTGACCTTGAACTTAAGATCCTCCACCTTCAGAGTGCTGAGATTACAGGTCGCCATTTCGGTTTATTCTTCTTCAAAGCTGGTGATTAAATCTTGAAGGAAGATCAGCCTGACAAGTGACTGAGCAACTGAGGATTCCCCCACCCTGCCTCCCCACTCCAGGAGTGAGATACATCTATCTGGGAACACATGGTCCCTAGCAAAAGACATCTGGTTTCTTAACTTCCTTGCAGATCTGGTTCCTTACCAACCACCTCTCAGAAGATACCTGATTCTCCTATCAGCACCCCCATCTCTCCTTCCCAGATCCTGGAAGGAGCAGGACACAACTCAAGAAAGGCAGGACCCCCTTCCTGGGACTCTGGGTCTACCTATAAATCTCAGACCTTGCCTAATCTGAAGGTTGCATGTTCCTCAGTAGCTAATAAAGCTATCTGCATCTGTTGAAGGTCAGATTACTTTTCTACTTCTTTATCACTTCACCTTCTGTTCCCAAATTCCAACACTTCTTACCTGCTGTACACTCTTATCAATTGAGCAACATCCCCAGTCACTGTCCAATCCCCTCCCCCTTTTTTTTCAGTCTCATTCAGTAGCCCAGGCTGGCCTAGAACTCAGAGACACTTTAAAAGAAAACATAGATATGACGAGTGCAAATTCTGACTTCAGGCTTGGTGTATGTGGTGCTGCAAATTGAATGCTAGGTTTCATACATGCTAGGCAAGCACTCTATCAACTGAGTTACATCCCCAGTCCTCCAGTATATATTTCTTTGCATCCTTATAGTTGGTCCCTTTCCTGGTGATCAGCTTTCTGGGAACCTTCATCTCTGAGGAATTCCAACTGTTTTGCTTTACTGGTGAATTCCTGTCTTAATTTCTTTCCCTCCTGCTGTGATAAAATACTTGGACAAAAGCCTTTTTTCCCCAGCACTCAGGAGGCAGAGGTAAGCAAATCTGTGAGATTGAGACCAGCTTGGTCTCCATAGCAAGTGCCAGCTGGGGCTACAGGGAGACTCCAAAAAAAAAAAAAAGAAAAAAAAAACAGGCAAAGGAGAATGGGCTTATTCTGGCTCACACAGTTCAAGGGTACAGTCCATCATGGTGGGGAAGTTTAGATAGCTGGAGCTTGAAGCAGCTGGTCATATCACATGCACAATCAGGAGGCAGCAGTGAACACATGCCACATTCCTTTCTCCTCTTAGACAGTACAGGATCCCAGCCAGGGAATGGTGCTACCTATTTTAGCAGGTACACCCAGAGACTCATCTCTCAGGTGATCCTTACCTATTTTAGCAGGTACACCCAGAGACTCATCTCTCAGGTGATCCTAGCTTGACAACACTCATCATCAAAATTCCCTAAGGCCTAAAGCTGTTGCTAGTACCCAGAAGGTGTTGGGATATAGAATATGATGTCCCCAAACACGGCTCCTACTTACAGTGCATTTGACTCTTTGAGCCACCTCACATGGATGCTGGAAATATCCAGGTCTTCTGGAATAGCCCTTAACCATTGAACCATCTTTCCAGCCTGCATTTGATATGAAGGAAACAAGAAAGGGCATCTGGTTCCCCCCCCATCCCCCACAGGCCATGGAAACTAGAATTCTTTTTTTTTTTTTTTTAAGCCAGGGTCTCACTATGTAGCTTTGGCTGGCTGGGAACTCACTGCATAGACCAGGCTGTCCTTGAACTCACAGAGATCTACTTGCTTCTGTCTCCTGAGTTCCTGAGTGCTGGGATTGAAGGTGTGTGCTACCATGTCCGTTGAATATAAAATTCTTCTTGCCCAATGTGGGTTATAGAAACCACCACTTCCTTCCCCCAAACCTGCTGTAAAACCTGGGCTTTGGCTGGCTGGGAACTCACTGCATAGACCAGGCTGTCCTTGAACTCACAGAGATCTACTTGCTTCTGTCTCCTGAGTTCCTGAGTGCTGGGATTGAAGGTGTGTGCTACCATGTCCGTTGAATATAAAATTCTTCTTGCCCAATGTGGGTTATAGAAACCACCACTTCCTTCCCCCAAACCTGCTGTAAAACCTGGGCCTCTCACATGGACTCTACCTTTCTGGGTAGAAGCAGACCAGAACAAAGTCCTCTGACTTGCCTGTGGGTGGCAGTAGGTCACAAGACCCTCATCCCAGAGGGATCCTGACTCACCCTGAAGGACGAAGAGACTGGGAGCTGGTGCCCTGTCACAGGAAACTTGGATTAAATGAATTTGTAATGCTTTTCTCCTGTTTATTGGTCTTAGCTTTATTTCTGCTGGATCCAGAAACCCGAGGAGGGCTGAGGAAGCTCTTCCTCCCCTGCTGTACTAGATAAAAATGCACTGAATAAATGAATGTCTGTGCCCAGCTCTGCACAGCCAGCTTTGAGTAGGGAGGTGGCAGCGGGCTATACCCCTAACAAAGGTTCAAGTCTGTCCCCAGTATGTCCTGGGGAGCCTGACCAGAGAGAAAGAAGCAGAGGCCAGGTCAGAAGGGGGAGGACTTGGTCTAAACTGGGCCAATGAGCAGGTGCCAAGGGAGCACCTGAGGCTGGAGAGGAAGAGGAGGGTCAAGGGCAGGGATTGGCTTCGCTAACTGTTCCTATGCATCCCCCCACCACTTGCAGATTGCTTGCTCAGAGCTTGGGGAGCCCCTGGGAGGAGCAAGAAAAGCTCTGACTTTGGGAGACTGGAAGGAGGGAGTAGTCAGGCTGTCCTGGGGTAGTTAGCTATCAAGAGCCAAGCCCTGTTGACTTCCGAGAGCTTAACACCACAGCCCCTTTCCAGGAGACCTCTGAGATGCTGAAAATGCCATGAGGAAGGCCGAAAGGGCATCCTTAGCACCAAGGAGGAGGAGGATGAGATCACAGAACAGCTGAGATATGGCTCTGACTTCAGTCCCTGTGAACTCCGACACACCCTGACTCACAGGTTCCTCCAGGAAGACCCCTGGAGACTAGGGGACAGAGGGCTATGGTTGTGTCCCCTTTAATCTTCATGCAGACCCAATAATTATTTTCCCTCATTGTTCAGGTGAAAAATCTGAGTCACATAATCTGCCAAAGCCAACACACCTCCATCACAGAGGCAGGTCAAGGGCAGGGATTGGCTTCTAACTGTTCGCATGCATTCCCCACCATTTGCAGAGGAAGAGGAGGGTCTTACTCCCTCTTAAGTTGTACTTACGAGCAACTTCCCATCTCCAGAGGATGAAAGGCACAAAGGCCAACAGAGCACACTGAGAAATAGCAACGGGAGCTGGGTGTGGTAGTGCACTTCTGTAAGTCAGCAACAGGAGGCTGAGGCAGGAGGGTGGAGAGTTCAAGACCAGCCTGGGCTACATACCAAGACCCTGTATCAAAAAGAGAACAAGAGGCTAGAGAGATGGCTCA